GCAGGAAACCAGATATTTGATACTAATGATAATTACTCATTTCACCCCATATTACATATATATATATACACACACATATATGTGTGTGTGTGTGCTCAGTCATGTCTGACTCTGCAACCCCATGGACTGTAGCCTGCCAGGGTCCTCTGTCCACGGGATTTCCCAGGCAAGAATACCGGAGTGGGTTGCCATTTCCTCTAATATTACCATCATCAATACACTGAAAAGTTAAATTTTTGCTAATGCTCTTCCCAAACTCCTCCCCAGTTTACAGTAATTTTGTACCAATATTTCAGATTATAAATCCATCTCAGATTATACTCTTTGTGGCTCTCAGCTCCAAATCTTTGTTTGCTGTGCAATAATGGAGCTGAACTCTGCAAATACTTCTCCAATATCAGCTGGTTTAATGCTAGGCTTTGTTAATGGAGGGTACTCTTGGGAGTAGAGGTGCAGAGGTACTGGAGAAGGAAGAGGCTTCTCTTTCTGATTCTTGCATGCTTATCTCTTTGGGCTCCCCGGCAGAGCCTCTGGTTCCTTCCAGCAGTGCCCACTAGCCAACAAGCAGCAGCTTCCCAGGGTAGTTTCCCCCCAAACACCGTTTTTTAGATGGCTTCATGGAGTGGTATGCTGCTGGCATATCACCTTCCTGTAAGTGGCTGCTCTGGGCACTTTGCAGTGAACTCTGATAAAGTCACTTCTCTGTGGGTAGCTTCTCCAAGAACTCCAGGGAGGATTTAATGAGTTCCATGGGGGCCACCAAAGAACTGATGCTTTTGAACCGTAGTGTTGGAGAAGACCCTTGAGAGTCCCTTGGACTGCAAGGAGATCCAACCAGTCCATCCTAAAGGAGATCAGTCCTGAGTGTTCATTGGAAGGACCGATGTTGAAGCTGAAACTCCAATACTCTGGCCACCTGATGGGAAGAGCTGACTCACTTGAAAAGACCCTGGTGCTGGGAAAAATTGAAGGCGGGAGGAAAAGGGGACGACAGAGAATGAGATGGTTGGATGGCATCACCGACTCAATGGACATGAGTTTGGGTAAACTCCAGGAGTTGGTGATGGACAGGGAGGCCTGGCGTGCTGCAGTGGAGTCAGACACAACAGAGCAACTGAACTGACCGACTGACTGACTGACTGATAGGGCCACAGCAGTGAGCCACAATCATGCCCTCTTCAAGTAGGAGGTAGCTGGGGTGTGGGGTCGGGGCCAGGGCCAGAGTGTTTCTTGGCCACTCTATTTCAGTTTAGGAGTGGTGACTTCTCTCTGTATCTACTCTTCCTCCTATATGCTAAGAGTTCTCTTTGACTGTTAGTAGCCAGCCTCCTTTTATTCCAGTTCTATTAATAATTGGTCATAGTATTGAACATAGTCCTCTGTTCAAATTACTATGTAGTTTTGCTCTCTTGACTAGACCCTGACTGAGACAAACCTTCTTTTAGTCTTGGTTCTAAATGCAATATTTCAAGTCACTGTGAGTAATTTTGATTACTGAGCTTCACTCCTCAGGAAAAACTCAAATAAATGATATTCTGAGTTCTTTCATTTTGATAACAAATACACTTTTATATTTGAAAGTCAGTTTTGCTGGACACAGAGTTCTTGGTTCTCGTTTTCTTTCTTTGAGTATTTTAAATATTTCACCATTTTCTCCTCACATGAAGTAGTAATTTTGAAGTCTTATGGTAATACAATTTTCTTTCAGAAATATTTTTTTACCTAAATGACCATTTTAAGAAATGTAAAGTATAGTAATTTTACTACCTAGAATATATCTTGTTTATTCTCAGTGTTTTCAGGTACACAGTACACTCTTTCAGCATGAGACTTCAAATACACATATGAATATACATATGAATATATATGTGAATAAATACATAAATAGAATATATGTATATATGTTCTATTTCAGGGAAGGTTCTCTTGAATTATAATGTGTTATATTGTTAGCTAGCTATGGTTTTATCAAGAACTTTTAATTCATATGTTGGATTTTCTTTACTTGTCCTCAATATTTTTTCTCTAAAATCATTTCTACCTGTTTTATTTATTTAAAATCTCATCTTCAATGTCTAGTTTTCTTGAGCACCATATGTATTTACTTCTGTGTTCCTTCTAGTTCAGTATTTATCTGAAACCACTTTTTCCTCTTATTTGTAATTCTTTCCCCAATTGTTACTTTCTGAAGGTTTTAAAATTCCAATTTCTCTTTCACATTTTATATAATTTTTTTAGTATCTTCACAGTTTTGACCTGATTTTTTCTGGCATTGACACTATGCAATTTTTATTTGTGGTTTGATCTCATACTCTTGTATTTGGGGGTCTGTGGCGTTATTATCTAGTTTTGTAAACATTGCCCCATCCATGCATTTTTGGTTTCACTATACAGTCTGTTTTGATGTGGTGATTCATGGAGATTTGAATTCATGTACTGCCTTCTTCCTGGAATCTGTTTATATTTTAAAGACTCATGAATACTTCCTTTTTTATGCTCCTGAGACATCAGTCCTTAGCTGAGTATGACAGGAAGGTACTAAGGTTGTTCAGGGTATTGTCTGGATTGGCAATGGTGCGTTACATCACATCCTCATTCTTGAGTGATGATTTACTTGGTTATAACATTCTAGGTTGTCCACAGTTTCCCCTCTGTACTATAAACGTTCCACTATCTTCAGGATATTTTTACTTTTGACAATATGGCTTCCATTGTAAATGCCATTTCTTTCTAGTTAGGTTATGTTTTAACTGCTCTTATTTAAGATCATTATTTTTCTCTTTGTTTAAATTCATCATGTACGTGTTATATGTATGTTATTTTCCTAAGACTTGATGTGCTGCTTCAATGTAAGGAGTCATCTTTCTTCAATTCTAGAAAATTACTGGCCATTATTGCTTTTTCCCTCTTTTGGAATGCCTATTAGATGTACTGTTGAACTGTCTTATATAGAACCTCTGAATTTATTGGTTACAAAAGGCAATAATTTATTCTTGACTTAAGCCAATTAGAATTAGGTTTATTACTGAAACAGGAACACTCTTACTTTCTCAAAAGCAAAGAAAGAAAGAAAAAGGTGGTCCCTTGAAGCTATTTGATTAACTGTAACTAGGTGTTCTTGAAACCTAAACTATTTCTGAACTTTCTATGCAAGTCAATAAATTCATTTACTTTTTCTCCCTTAAATCAGTTACAGTTGGATTCCTGACAACTGCAGTGGAGTCCTGATTAATATAAATGTCTGTGTGAGCCGCATTATGCCAGGTTCTACCTAATCAGTGGTATTCAAAACAAAGTCTGTGTCTCCAATAATCACAATATTTACACTCATTCTATTTTCTCTTCATTTATTTCTTTCTTCCCTTTCCTCCCCTACCCAAACTTGGAATGCATGTTTAAACATTACAATCTCTTCACAGTTGACTTTTTAAAAATTATTTACTTATTATTTAATTTTTGGCTGCACTGTGTCTTCTTTGCTACACTTGAGCTTTCTCTAGCTGTGGCCAGCGCCAGGGAGCTGGGGCTACTCTTCCTTGCGGTGTGTGACCTTCTCATTGCAGTGGCTTCACTTGTTGTGGAGCACCAGCTCTAGGCGTAGGCTTCAGCATTTGGGGTTTATAGGCATAGTTGCCCCAAGGAATGGCGGATCTTCCCAGAGTAGGGATCAAACCTGTGTCCTCTCCATTGGCAGGTGGATTCTTAAACCACTGGACCACCTGGAAAGTTGATTTTTAAAACCACATTTGTAAGAATAAACCCAGCTATAGGCCACCACGATCTTTCCCTTGTTTTGGATACACACTATATTGGTATTGTCTTAAATAGGTCTCCCAGTGCTTCATGAAAGTCTTTCCCTTTAACCTATCCATTAGCTTCTTAAGGGCAAAAGTTAAATCTTTTACTTTCATTTCCCAGGGCAGAGTCAAGAATGATTCTGGGATTCATCATGTTGACAACTATACCCACAGTACCTGTGGATCTCCTTCCTGTGTGGGACAGGGGATACAAAGATATATGCCTATCACTCAACCGACTTCAGGACTTTGGAAGGCATACTAAAATGTAAATACGTTAAGGTGCTATATGTAGTTCAGAGGAAGGGGAAATCATGCCTGGGCTATGGTATCTCAGATTCCAAAGCCCTGAGATATGAACAAGGCCTTTCCTGAACAGAAAATAAAGGGCAGGCGCCAAAGGTTGAGACGAGTCAGAAAAGGCACAGTTTTGCCGAGGCAGGCTTCTGTCTGCAGCAGTGGAAAGTAAGATATTGCAGGCTCAGACTGGCTCTAGGACAAGGACAGAATCTAGCTCTTAAATCAACACAACCCCTTTTCTCTTACAATCAAGATGGCTGCAGCTGAGCCATACCACCTTGATGGGTCCCAGTTTGGTTATTAATTTCTTAACCCCTGAGGATATGCCTTGTATCACCTTGAGTACAAATGGGTGAGGGGACCAGTTAACTGGAATGAATGCAGGCGGAAGTAACTAACAGGTCCTGTGCTTAGAGACCAAAACTGTCGCGGCTGCAAACAGAAAAGGCAGCGCTGACCCCCGGGACCTCTCTCTGAACTCCTCCTCCTCCATCAGCTGTTCCTCCAGGGGCAGCCGGAGTCTACAACCCGTGAGACTATCTGGAGAAGCCTTGGGCCTTCAACTTCGCTAAAAACCGCAAGAGGTGTGTGAGGGGGGTGGGCGGGAGGGGTCGGGGGCGCGGAGGGGTGACAGTTGAGCGGAACTAGCGATAAGCCCAGCACGTCCAGCTGAGTAGCTCCCCGACAACCATAACCGGCTCGGCAGCTCCAAGGCCTATTCCACGCCCCGCCTCCTTGCTCCGCTCCGTCCCGGCGACGTCCACGGGGGCGGGGTTTCCGCTTCCGGTGGCGGATTGTTGACGCCTGCGGCTGCTGCGGTGGCCACCGAGCCGTTGGGGAGGGGCCAGGAGGGAAGGGAGACGGCGCAGTGACAGGGCCGCCGAGGGTGCAGCTGAGGCGACGATGGCGGAGGGGCCAGAGGAAGCCAGAGGCCGTCCTCCCGGGCAGGACGACGGCGGAGGGAACCAGGAGTCCGTTCCTTCCCTAAGAGGCCTTCCTGCCGCCGCCGCCGCCCCACTGTCCCGGGACGGCCCGCAGGCCGAACCCCAGGCCCCGGGCCGGCCCCCAGCCTCGGGCCTCGCGGCCGCGGCTGAGAAATCGGAGCCGCCGCGCGAGCTCGAGAATCGCGGGGAGGCGGCCTCCGGCTCCGACTCTGGCTCCGGCGCGGGGCTGCAGGAGCCGGCAAGCTGTGAGGCGTCCGAGGCCGCGGCCCCGCCGGAGAAGCCGGCGCGGCTGAGCGCCCGCGAATACTCCCGGCAGGTGCACGAGTGGCTGTGGCAGTCCTACTGCGGCTACCTCACCTGGCACAGCGGCCTGGCCGCCTTCCCCGCCTACTGCAGCCCCCAGCCGCCTGCGCCCAGCTACCTCCCGGCCGCCGGAGCCGCCGCCGCTCCCCCGGCAGCCGCCCCGCCGCCCCTCCAGCTGGGCTATTACAACCCCTTCTACTTCCTAAGCGCCGCGGCAGCCGGGCCCGAGCCAGGGGCGCCCGCCGGCATCACCACTCCGGCTCCGGTCGCCGGCCCCGCAGCCCGCGCCCCTCACCTGCAGCCGCCGGTCCGCGCAGCCGCGGCCACGAGGGTGGGACCGGCCGCCGCTTCGCGAGCCCCGAGCGAGACGGGGCGGCAGGCAGGTGAGAGGCTCTTCGGGGCACGTGCTGGGGTGGCGGGGTAGGGGCAGGAGCCCGCAGGCTCTGCCCTGCGCTTGTCGCTGCTGCTGCCGTTCGCCGTAGTTTCTCCGCGTCTCTTAGTTCCCAGGGTGTCCAGCGAGGCCCGTTTCCTCTTTAGACCTGGCGCTCCGGATCCATTCCCTTACTCCCCGGACTAGTCGCTTCCAAATGTAAAGAAATGTTTGCTCCTCAAACCACTTGCTGTTACCTTACTCTCCACGTTCTGGACTGAGACCCAGAGCTTAATTCTCAGATGGTAAAGCCGGTTTGGGGGGAGAGGAGGTGTTGGCCGGTAATGCTGGTAATAATCCAGACATGGATTTATAGTTTATAACTTTTATGAATTAGCGACAATGGAACTGACGGATATTACAGGAGATTTTCATGAATTCAAATGGAATTATGAACCTTGGCTTAATCCTGTGTATTGTCTCTATAGTCTCTTTACTTCTGTATGGATATTAGAATGTTTTGAATTGACACCTTTTAGTTTATTATTTTTATTTTATTCAGATAATATGGGACAAGACCTAGTTGCCTGAATTTGATCCAGAATTTAGGATGGCAGCTTATTAATCACTGAATTTGTTAAATACATATAAAGCGGGACAAATGACTAGGGGTAAGGTGAGCCACACAGGGTCTAATTTTCTGCCATAGGCTTGTAATTACCCGGGTTCTCATTTGAACCCCTGGTGAGATGTACTGAGTATTTTAAATGATGAAATTTACCTGTGAAATAACTTTTAAACATTAAGGGGGTAAAAACAGCTTTCAATTGCTATGAAGTAGCATTGCTGTGTTTTAATAACATGCCCTATTGAAGCCAATACCAGTACTTGTTTCACGGTTATAAAACTTTTCATCAGCAAGTTGCACCTTGACTTGACAGTCCCCATGGCCTAGGTTGGGTTCCAAGGGAACGATTCGCTTTCCTAACTTTTTTTTTTTAATTTACAGGCAGAGAGTATGTTATTCCCTCCTTGGCCCACAGATTTATGGCAGAGATGGTGGATTTCTTTATTCTCTTCTTTATAAAAGCGACCATTGTCTTAAGCATTATGCACCTGAGTGGAATAACGTAAGTTAAGGCCGCCTGCAGAGAGGCTTTAGCGTCTAGTGTCTGGAGGCCTGCTTTAAGTTCTTCCCATGCTTGCTAGTGACTGGGTAACTTGTTTGCCAGGGCCAGCGATTTCTTTATAGGAACGCTGTCGGATTTACTTTCTTGTTGGTTTTAAGAAGTAACTACAAAAGAGAGAAAAACAGTAAATCCTGCAAGATATGGGAGAATTTCACCTATAAAAGTAGGTAGAAGCTATCTCCAACCCTGGTTTGATTTTATTCCTGTTTTCTTAGGGTAGGTACAAATTTTTCTCTTATAATTGTTTTCAGAGTGGAGTACCTAAAGACAAAGGCATAAACTGTTAATAATCAGCTAGATGCCATTTCCAAATGGGGCTGCCTGTATACATCAGGCAAGCTCTAAATGAATCGCAAAGTGAGCCATTTATTTGAATAGTCTTCCTTTCAGAATAGGAGTCACAGTAGCAGTTATCACTTGGTGAGCACTCCCTACCTCCTGGGCTTTGTATGGACTTCTTTTTTTTGGCCACACCCCCGCACCGCCTGCAGTGAAAGCACGGATTCCACTGGACACCAGGGGGTCCCTGTATGGACTCATGCTCTTGCTACCACTATTGAGTGAGATTAATACCTCCATTTTATAGAGATTGAAATTTGGATTTACAAAGGTTAAGCCCAGAATTTACAAAGGTAAATTTAAAAAAATAAAGAGTGTTAAGTTCAGACCCTGGTGGTTCAATTTGAGGTCGTTTGTCAGGAAACCTGAATGGTTACCATGATTGTGTCTCTCCCTCCCTTTGCCCCTACACATCCAGTCAGGTACCAACTCCTTTCTGTCAGGATTTCAGTTTTCATTATTAGTGCTTCTCCCTAGGCCCAGTCACATCATCACTTGCTTGGATTGTAACACAAGTCTTCTAACCAGTATCTCAGTTTACCATCTCCTGTATTATATTTAATCTCATAAATTCTGATTCTGCCACTCTGCTGCCTTAAAAACTTCAGTAGTTTCTCATTGCCATCATTAAAGTCTTAATGTCTTCATGTTTTAACAGATACCCTTGTTTCTTAAACTCCCTTCCCTGATGGCTCAGCAGTAAAGAATCTGCCTGTAACACAGGACATGCAGGTTCAGTCCCTGGGTCGGGAAGATCCTCTGAAGGAGAACATGGCAGCCCACTCCAGTATTATTGCCTGAAAAATCCCATGGGCAGAGGAGCCTGACGGGCTACAGTCTGAAGGGTCACAGACTTGCACATGACTGAGCATGTATGCCTTATTTCCTGATCAGTCACTTCTCACACAATATTTGAGCCATACTGAACTGCCTACACCTTCTGTCATTACTCAAGTCTTTCTCCCATTAGTCCCGCTCTCTCAAATGTTTCCCTTAGGCAGGCCAACTTCTCTTCATCCTTCAGATCCCAACTTAAATGTCATTTTTTCGAAGCCTCCACTAAGATGTGTTCCTGGTATGTGTTTCCAGGTACTCAGTGCTTCTCTATGACACCCTTTTCCCACTTCACTCACTCGCCATTTTAAACCCAGAGCTAGGACAGCACTTACTCATGGTAGTTAGTGCTACTTATTTGTTGAATAAGATAATGTTTTGTGAAACTAGATGATTAGAAACCTAAAGATTAGTTTGTGATTTCAGTTAGAGTTTATGGCTTACACTGATGACAAAATACCAGTGCAACTGCTCTGGTAACACATTCTCTATAACCCAAAACTGTTTTTTGTAGGGATATCTCTAAGTTTGCTATGCATTATATAATAGAAGAAATAGACGAAGACACATCAATGGAAGACTTGCAGAAAATGATGGTTGTGGCACTTATATACAGATTATTAGTTTGTTTCTATGAGGTAAGCTACTGACTTCAGCAAATATTTAACAATATAATTTTAGATTATCAGCCCAATGGAGATTTTTAATATTGTAATGGAGATTTTTAATCATGTATTTGTCAAATGTCTTTTTTCTAAATTTTAAGATAGTACCTTTTCAAGTTAAAATTTTCTGAGCGGAGAAATTGTACAATTTCTTGGTAATACATTTCATTCATTTGTCCAAGAATATTTTAAGTTGGTTGTGGAACGTATGTGTTTTTCCATAGAACCAACTTGCTAAAAAAATGTAATGGCTCATAGAGAAATAACTGCAATAGACATCTTGTGGTATTTGAGGATATTAGAGACCTACAGAAATGCATTAAAAGATTAGGAATTCTTCCAACTTGAAAATGTTAAAACAGGAATCATATGGCAGGAAAATACTGGTATAGTTGACCCAGTAAACTGTTTTACAACTGTCCTTCTTTCCTTAGATAATTTGCATTTGGGGAGCAGGTGGAGCTACCCCAGGGAAGTTCCTGCTAGGACTTCGAGTTGTGACATGTGATACATCAGTGCTTATTGCACCAAGTCGGGTTTTAGTGATTCCGTCCTCAAATGTTAGCATTACAACGTAAGTTCTTTTCTTAATCTACTATGTACTTATGAATTACTGTACTTAAACATTATCAAATGATGTGTTTTTAGGATGTTGGTTCTTCATGGCATATAATAGGCTTACATTTAATAAGTTTAAAACAAAGTTTGAATGTTTTTCAATAACATTTATTGACTCCTTTTCAGTATCCATGTGTATCTTCAAGGGTCAGCATTTTATGAACTGGAGGCCACGGTGATGAGAGGATTGGGTTGTGGCGCTCTCTCTGTCAGTGCTCCAGGCCCAGCTGTGCTTATATCCTCTACATCTCCAGTTAGGGAGTTCAGTTAACTGCTCTGCCTCGAAGCTTCCTTTTGGTGGTAACAGTTGTCAGTACCCCATCTTAAATAGGCAATAGGAGTTTTGACATGCTCCTGCTCTTAAGAGGTTGTAATACTCATAGTATTCATGACCAGCTGTTGGCATCTAGCTCTGGGGTAAGGTGTACAGATAGTGATAATGGAAGTTGTGGAGGTGAGTAGATGGTAATCAGCTGAACAAAACAAGGTTCTGACTGGAATTGCTGCCAGAATGATTCAGAGTTAGATGGTTACATAAAGAAATATAAACAAGAGACTTTAGAAGAAGCCTGGGATTTGTTGACATCTTCAAAATTTCCTTATTTTTGTGATTCGAATCTTGGACTACTACTTTTACTGAGAATCAATATTGGCTAATATTTGTTGAACACCTTGTAAACCAGGCACTTTTTAAAAACTGCATGTGTATTCACTAACTTAATCCTAACAGCCTTATAAGATATATATTATAGGTACTATTATATTATTCTCTTACTACAGCCATGGACACAACCAATGGTAGAAAATGAACCTAAAATACCAAGTCAGTCTGGATTCAGAGCCCACATTCAGCTGCTGTGCTATTCTGTAATGGTTCAGTGCACTAAAAGGCAAAACTCAAATGATAGGAGAATAATTCCCCATTCTAAGCTCCCCTTGAAAGCTTTTTAAAGCTTTCCTCAATCACAGGACAACAGGGACCTCTGTGGTGGTCCAGTGGTTGAGACTTCTCACTGCTACTGCAGGGGGCGCGGTGCAGGTAGAATTCCTGGTCAGGGAACTAAGATCCCACAGCACAGCCAAAATAAACCACAGGACCCCCCAAAGAAAGAAGAGAGCTGATAAACCAACACAGTACTTTGAAATGCTGGTGCTCTTCACAGAAGGTAGAAAATGGGACTGTACTAAACCTAGTCAGTTTAGAAGATAGTGAAAACATACAGAAAATAAAGATATTAAAAGTAGTGAGTGACCATAGAAAAGGTGGGTAAAGGGAAGTTACTCTGTTCTTTTGGCAAAATACTAGAAAATACTCTTTTAATTGACATTCTAAGACATTATTGCTTTTCATGTGAAAGTTCTAAAAATCTAATTTTATGTTATGAAGTCTTTAGAACTGGCCCAGGTGGTTTGATCATAATATAATGCTACTTGAAAGTAATTTAGATATAAAAGGTTAAAACTCTCAATTATACTTTGAACATTTTAAATACATTCTGAACTTGATAGTCTACTAATCTGTATGTAGTTGGTATATAACTTTATCTGATTTTTTTTTTTTTGCTTTAATAGGTCCACTATACGAGCTTTGATCAAGAATTTTTCTATTGCTTCTTTTTTCCCTGCTTTCATTACACTGCTGTTTTTTCAGCATAATCGAACAGCCTATGACATTGTAGCAGGAACCATCGTAGTAAAAAGAAACGGAGTCAGATGATGCCCCAAAAAGCCATGAATTCCGTATTCTCTGGAATGACAAGACTAAATTATGTGTCAAGGCCATCAGTGTCCCTGGGTTACATTAATTGATTTAGAAATTAAAGCAGTCGATCCAGTGTGATGCAAGTGACTATGCTGAAAGTATTGATGTTACTTGAATGCCAAAGAACTTTTCCAGAAGAAAAACCTGTTAAGTCCAAGTGTTAAAATTTTTATATTGAACAGAAGGCAAGTGGTGTCGTCATCAACAACAGACAGTATATACTTAAGATCTAAGGTATTCGAATTTGCTGAATGCACTTTCAGCTTTGAAATCTCCAAATGAAACTTAAAAAAGTTATTTTGGTTTATCCCAAAATGATGGAAAACGTCCAGTTGTGTTTTGTAAACACATTCATCTTTTAGTTAACACGTCTTGAGGAAATTTTCGTCTTTGATTTTTGGGGGGAGGGAGTGGGGACACACTTCATAATCTACTTAGCTCCCATCGCAGGAGGCGGTGAGTTAGCTACAAGAGAAGGGGAAGGTTGAGGCCAGCCGGGCAGTTCCCGATCCGAAATGTTAACACCTGTACTGCAGTTTACCGCAGGAGTGAGGACGTCACAGCTATCCTTAATGCCTGCATGTGTATTTCACGATAAGTATTGCATGATGAAGAAGTATTAAGTCATATTGCGATTTTTTTTTTAAGAAAAAGGTAAGTTAGTGATTGCTTTTAATGGGGTGGGTGTGGGGGAGTAAATTTTCACTGTAAATTTAAATTGAAATTCATGTGCAGATGTTTTCCGTGCCCTAAATCAAACTATAAATATGTGAGGAAAAGTTAGTCCTATCAAACTGTGGCATATTTACTGTAAAACAATATTCCCAGTATGTGCACAGCATGAAGTATTAGTGCTTTTCAGTGTTCTGAGTATAACTTCTCTTTATATACAGGATATTCACATACTAGTTTTAGTTTTATTGTACTCCATAACTTCTGAAACATCAAGGAGTTCAATAATCCTAGCATTTCATGATTAAATAAATAGTAGTAGCCTATGAAATACTTAGCAATTTTCCCATTAGGGACTATTCTCTAACAAGGAAGAGTAGCATGTCCATTGTCCTAAGTTCTTTGGTTCTGTGGGCCACCAGCTCATTTGGAGTCTGTCAGGGATGATGTTTTGAGGGAGATGTGTAATACTATGTGTTGCTATTTTATTCTTCTGTCGCTGAATTGTGTGTGTGCGTGCGTGCTTTTGTTAGATGGCCCAGTTAGCTGTGCTGAGATAGAAAAAGTTGTCGGTCTTAGGCATTTTCTGCATTTTCTCTGTTTTTTCCCCCAAAACACTAAGCTGTACTGAACAGTTCATATCTCAGGTGCTTTTAGGATCAATCTAGGCTTTATTTTGGTCATAATAAATACATGGCTATATTACTGTATCAATTTTTAAAGTGGGTCTTTTTGACATTTAAGATGTATTTTCGGTTTGTTTATAGAACCTTAACAATGTCGTTAATACTTTTGATTGTAAAATTTCATAAACCGTGGATTTAATATAAAATTATTTTGAAAAACATCACAGAAAGCCTATTAGTTAAATGTGCTATAATACTAAAACAGATCATTCACTTGTCATTTCTGGGAAGATAAAGTGTTATGGCCCTTCACAGTAAACAAACCAAAACCATCCACTAACTTTTTTAGAGTAGATTATTAGGAAATGTTACATAAACGGTTACATACTTAACCAATTAGTAGTGTATACATTATTGGCATATACACACCTCTTTGCCCTGGATTGGGAATTTGAGTTGAAATGTACTCTTAAGTACTGTGGAATTCATCTTTAATGTATACTTTCCTCTCAGATAATTGGATGGTTAACTACCTGGGCTATTTTTACTTACACAGTAAAACAAAAGTAAATACATAGTCCAGTTTGATTTATACATTAAAATATTGCACATCTGCTATACACAAATGATTCAGATTAGTATCTATATAGATGCATTTAGAGCTATCTCAGGATTCAAGTTAAACTATGTAGCCCTATAAAATAAACATTATTATTCTGTCTACCTTTACATGAAAATCCAAGTCTGATTATGAATGCAGCACTTAGGGAGATTTTGGATTCCCAAATTTGAGGAGAAATAAATGACAAAATGGGGAAGGTTTTTGGGGGTGGAGCCCTCTATTTTCAGTATACGTTATTATATTTCATTTATAGAAATGCTGACTTTTCTGTGTAGAGCCTCACACTGAAGCTCTACAGCCTAAAAAGGCAAAAAGAAAGCTGTCTTCATAGTATAAATATTATTCATCACTTTTACAAGATAATAAAGGAACAAAAATTAGAAGTCATGCTGAGAATACCATTTCAATGAACATACCATACATAAAACCACAAAACAGGCAGATAATTGAGGCATCTAGAAAATCTACCCATTCCTAAAGCAGCCCGAGTGGCCCCAGGACCTTGAGACAAGCCTGACACTCGAGCGCACGCTGGGCTGAGGCTGAGGCGGCGAGCAAGCTGTGCTAAATCTGTGACGCAAGAGACAGTGCTTCCCGAGGTACTCGTGTGGCACTGGTCCAGAAGCTACAGCTTTCTACCTAAATACTCACCTCATTCCTCCCAAATATTTAGGATTGAAAAAAAAAGCATTTGACAGTTTTGTTTAAATTTATAAACGTCTTCAGTGTTTGTTTCAAATGACAATAAAAATTGTTTCAACTCTTAGATTTTTTTCCCTTAAGTAACTTGCTTGGGTGTTTCATGGAGGCATAAATAGTTCCAGCAAAACAAAGACAGGAGTTGAAAAATTAAACTGCTTGTTGCTACTTGGGGATAAAGGGCTTTTTGATGGGAGCATGGGTATTAAATATGTTCCTTCTATACTTATCTCTATGAAAACAGGCTGTTCTTCCTTTTAAAGAATATTCCTAAATAATGGCATTATTCCTAAAATCTGGCAAGTATTTCAGTTACTTGCCACTTCTCACCCCTCTATGCCAAAGGCCAAAATTTATCAACATGTAACTTGCCTGGGTAAAATTCATCTCAAACTGTAGGCATACTTCCTTGCAGTTTCATTTATAGTATGGTGTGACCCACAAACTAATCTGATGGCCTGCCTAATAAATAAAAATTCAGCATTCTATTTTTAATAATTTATATGCCACCACTTTGTTATTGTCTCAATAAATACCTGGTCATCAATGCTTTTGTGTTTTGCCTGTTTCTTTGAGGTTTGCTCTAGAATCTCTTGCTTCCAAATACAGCTGCGCTAGCATTCTCTGCCTTCAGGAGATGAGTGCTTTCAGAAATAGAAGTCTATCCAAAAAAAAAAAAATGATCATCCACTTTGAGGTATATTCTTTTAGCAAGTCACTCAAGTTAGCTGTAGATGACTAAGCTTTTGATGTTAAACTAATCATGTCCATTCGGTAAAAGCTGTTAACCATTCCAGCCACCGTGCAAGATATGAAAGACCCACATGACACATGAGGAACAAGAATTCAGTCACAGCTAGTCAAAGAGGTGGGCAATTTAATCTTATTCCAGTCTTACGAGCATTCCCTATTCAAACATTTAAAACAAAACTAGATCGACAGGATCCTCAAGAAATACAAAATAAGAAAAACAAAACAGGTTCCTCAAGAAATAAAAAGATAATAAAGGATAAACTTAAATGGAGTTAAACTACAGTGTGGTCTGAGTCCTGTAGACAATGTGCTGTTTAGGCACCCAACCACTCCACTCTGGAACTATAGTGGATGTCAGAGATTAAGTTTCTGAAAGTTGCCCCACGTGAAAAGGAAATGAAAGCTCTGACATAAAGCTCTAGACCCAACACATTCCATTTTTCTCACTTTTACTATACCAAGTTTGTTAGTTTCCATTAGACAAGGCCAGCACCTGACATACTAATATAATTAAAGAAACCATAAGTTCTTCCCCAGGTTAAACCAGGAAGTTCATGGACTGGTTATAAATTGCTAACATTAGTCCAACACTTTTATCTCAAGTAATAAAATCCTAATTATGTGAATAAATCTAAGAGAAATTCATAACATATTAGCTAAAGACTTATGCTTCAGTTGTCTGAGCTGTACTTTTTCTTAACACCTCAAACTGTAAATTACTAAAAAAAAAAAAAAACCAAAAAACAAAAACCTACCCCTTAGAAGTGGCATGCCTGGATCTCAGGCATTGCAAGTCTTCCAGGCACTTATTTAATGATTTTTGGACACTGTCTGAACCCAGTGAGTGCATGAAATCTCTGGTGCATAGGTCCGAGAATATACATTTGCCACACCCCACCAAACATACTGATACACGTTCAGTGAGAACTGACTTTTGCAAATCAACTGAATTATAAACATACCTGATTATTCAGTCTTTCTGCATATGGCTTTCTTACTGTCAGATTATTTTCAGTTAAAAACAGTTCCTCATTGATCCAGCATGAAAAGTGGGTTATCTATTTTCTTTCTGTAATGTTTCCCCGTCTTCCACAAACAGCACTTGACTTTCATCTGTGTATGGAGCATGGAACCCAAGACTGCTATGAGAGCCACAGGGAGTGGGTCTGCAGCCTGCACCAGTCTGACGAAGAGATACGTCTCCTGGGCTTCAGTAGGGAAAGATTTGTGGTTGGAACTGCTACCAGGAGTGTATTGTATAGCTGCCGTGTGCAGCCTGAGAGTTAAAGCAGTCGAGATGAAAAAACAAGTCCCAAGTCACAAATTTCAGTTCTCGGGGGAAAGGAGACTTCATTTTTATAAGATAACTCACCCTATTTTGGTTACTAGCTTTAAAAAAAATTAATATTTCTAGTACATTTTTAATGAAAAATCTTTCCCAGAATAGAAAGCTTAATATCCCCATCCATATGGGTCTAAAACAATGACTAAGACTGAGCGAAATGCAATTTAGTTAAGCCATTAACACCCCACACGTTTCCAATTTACTCCATTAGTATTCACCATCATCTCTTGCCCCACAAACAGGTTCATGTCAAACATTCATTATTTAATAAGTTGAGAATTATAAATAGAAAATTCCTACTCTGAAGCTAGCACTTGATGATGGCCTAAGACATTTCAATAACAGAAATCATTTCACTTGGAAACACAGAAAAGCTCAAACATTTCAAAGTATTGAATTTAGACTCTAACCACAAGTTCAGTAAAATAAAAGTCACCACAAAATTATATGTTCAAATTGAAGAATAAAGTTATCAAATGTTCTCCTAAGAGCTCTTTTATGGGCAAGAACAAAGAAATCTACTTCTTTAAAAAAAAAAAAAAAAGATTCCATAAAACAACCCAAAAGAAATTGCACAGAAGGACTATTGAAGTTTTTGTGGGCTACTTTGGGTATGTATCTCAAAAAATTCAATCAATAAACATTGTCTAGTCACCTATGAAGGAAGATACAAATACAAACAGAAATGGTTGTTTGCATTTATTTTCTACTTTAAAAAGGCATGGCAATTTATATGCAAAGTAGGCGTGATTCCTAGCACCAGACAAAAATGCAGCGGGGGTACCTTCAGACATTTCCCTTTCACTTAGGAGCTGTCCAAATCACTTAAATGTATTCTTTGGAATTTCTCTTCTAACTGCCCACTGTTAACTTCTATAAAAAGATTCCCTTCCACTAACACTTTTACCTTCACTATAATTTAACACTAGAACAAAAAATATTTCATAATTTTTTATTGATGGCATTTATCCCATGGTTTAACATGTTAATTATACTGTAATAAACATGGCTTTAATATTAAACTTTTCCTTATTATCCAAAGTCACCACAGTCCATTTCAGTAAATATAAAAATATATGCTTAATACTTTGTACAATACTGGTTTTTGGTCCAAACAAAAACTGGATCAGAAAAGCCAATAAACTCACTTTAAGAATCCCCAATTTTTTTTTTTTTTTAAAGATTTCCAAATGGATTTAGGCAACTTTGAATAATGGGATTTACATAATAAAATCTGAGACGAGACTAAACAAACAACAAAAAAAAATTTCTAACACAAAATTAAAATTTCAAGTTCACAGATTTATGTTATGCCAAAAAAGTACAGAAAGAAGATTGTATTTACACAAGTTTCATAATAAAATAATGAAAAAGGCAAGACAGGTGATAGTCAGAAGAATGACAATATAGAAATAGCATATAATTATTAAATGGAGAACGAACTAGATCTAACAAGTCCTTAGCATGGACCATTCTTTAATCAGGCTTCCTCTATCAGAAAATTTTAGTGCACGATACACCCAACTCACTCACTTCACACATACACCAGCACAGACTCAGCATAGGAATCATTCATTTCAACATCCTCTAATCTATACAGAATTCCTCAGATATAATTACAATTGCAATGCGTTCCATAAACGCATATCAACGTGCACGGTGGTGCAGACGAAGAGGTTCTATACAAAGCCATTCTCCGAGCAGGCTCGATTCCTGGGTTCTGCCAGCCTAGGCCAAATCAATGAATAATTTGCTGGATCATAAAATAATTTTGCTCAATAAACAGTCACCAGTCTAGCTATTATTTTTTTAAAAAGGGGGGTGGGAGAGGTGAAGTTGGGCTTCTATAAAGAAAAAAGGAGGAAAATTCCCAAATTAAAGAAGTCCTTAGGCAGATGTGACTTCAGAGAACCCAGTATTAATAGTACAATCCAGTATCTGAAAGCAGTGCACCAGCTGTTAAAACAGTGTGTATAACACAACATGACCTTTATTTCTTGCGTCTAACAGCAGTCTTTATCTTTCGACCAGGAACTGAAGTTCCAGAAGAAGGGAACATGTTTTTCCCATTTGACCTGTGAAAAATAAAAACTCTGTAACGTGACATGATGCTCACATAAAAATCTCACAATCCTAACACTGTGTGACTGGTGATGGGGGGGTGGGGAGACAGTGTTAAAGGAAGCACTCTCTGTTACACCCCATACCTACACACATACGCGCGCGCGCACACACACACCCCACCCCAGGCTCTTTTTCTCGGGTTATGATCCTCCAAGATTGTAATATGGTAAATTGATGGAGAACATACTTGATTTTACCTCAACTATGCTGCACCTTGGTGATTCTAAACACACACACACGCACACATCTCAACAAAAAGTTCTCTTACCCCACAGTAAACGCCGCTGAAGACTGGCTAAAGTGAAAACCCCCTGAGCCAGAGGGCTGGGCTGAGGCCGCAGGTGTGCTGGGACTTGCACCAAATGTGAACACTCCCAATGGATTGTTGTTGGTGAAGTTGAAATTTGTAGTAGTGCTGCTGCCAAATTGGAAACCGGAACCTGGAATAGTTGAAGCAGAAAAACATCATTAAGGTAAAAATGACGGTTTTTCTACTAATGACTCTGACTTTTACATAGAAAAACATGTGAAGGGTTAAGTTCTCATATGGTCACTTAAAAGAAAATTAAGTAGCTTCTCTATAGACAAAATATATACCTGACACCCTCCAACAGGTGACCCAACTCACTCATGACCAAGGGGAAAAAGGGCCAAGTGGACTTTTGACTGAGACTGTGGAATCAACATATTGAGCTCTACCTTTTTCAAAAATTATGTTAATAAAAATAAATGGAAAAAAAAAAGTCGGCTCAAAAAACAAAAATTATGTTAAAATCACAGTAAGAGGAATTTTACAGAGATAGGGAGAGAAAGAGACGACAGAACAAAATTTAGAAGCTGGAAGCACGATTGGAGCCAAACACTAATCTAGTAGCAAGAGAAAGCACAGAAGTCGTTCCATGTATGCTAACCATACCCACAAAGTTTAGGTTCCAGGTACTTCTGGAAGTGAGAATGACGACTGACTGGGGAAAAACAAAAAAGGCAGGATGGCAGAGTATCTGTTTCAGAAGCAGATACCCAGATCAATCCCTCCCCAACAAACAGGATGAGAACTCTCCTCCCCTAGCTAGCGTTAAGTACAGAATTCTAGTCTCTGGAGAGGCCTCTGGACCGGGGCACATCACGCACAGAGACAAGGATACCTACGGAAAATAGGACTAAGAGTAGGCTGAGTACAATGAATACTGAGAACTACGGCCTTCCGCCCTGACTCAGCTCCCCAAACATGGGCAATCAGGAGTGTTTATGCCCTTCAGACAGGAGACTTGAGGAATCTCCTCTGGGGAACGGGACAGTCTAAAAGGAGAAACCTAAAGATACAAACATTCAGCTCTTGGCAAGAGGACAAGCCAGGCAGATAAACCTATGATGATATTCAAATTAAACCCTCTGCCCAGTGGGCAAAGAACCTGAACAGACATTTCTCCAAAGACAACATATGGGTACATATAAAAAAGATGCTCGACCTCACTAATCATCAGGGGGAATGCAAACCAAAACCACTAGGAGATATCATCTCTCAGAATGGCTATTGGTAAGAAACAGCAACTGTTGGCAAGGATGTGGAGAAAAGTGAACCCTTGCGAACCGTTGGTGGAAATGTAAATTGCCGCAGCCACTAAGGAAAACAGTATGGAAGCTTCTCGAAAAGTTAAAGAGAGAACTACCACATGATCTAGCAATCCCATTCTAGGTATTTACCCAAAAGACTTGAAACCAGGATCTCAAAAAGATATCTGGACTCTCTTATTCACTGCAGCATTATTCACAATAACCTAAGTAGAAACAACCCAAATATCCCCAGACAGATGCACAGATAAAGGAAATGACATGTCCACATAAAATGGAATATTAACCTTGCAACTTGAAAAACACATTTACACATCTGGAGGACATAAGTGAAATAATGCATGAGTTCACTTCTATGAGGAATCTGAAATAACTAAATTCACACAAGCTGAAAGAAAGGGGCAGGGAGAGGTGGGGGTGGGAGAAACGAGGAGGTGCTGCTCAGAGCAGGTGTGAAGTGTCAGTTATGCAAGATGCTCAGATTCTAGAACTCTGTCTCACGACGCTGTGCCTACAGTTAACAACACTGCATTGTGCCTTTGTTGATGAGTAGATACAATTCATGTTAAACATTCTTACTACAATTAAAAAAAAAACAGAACCCAAACACTATGAGTAAGAGGCAAGAAGCACCAGACATCTGAGGAAAGTATTTCATAAGAAACACTAAGACTGAAGCAGTAATAAAGAAAAGCAATTTGGAGGAAACTAAGCAAAAGCTATTAGACGGAAAAACAAAACAAAAACCTCATTGTTAATATCCTAAGAAATCCACAGATAACACTTCTAAAACAAAAGCAGAAGGATATAAAAAAGAACATCCACAGAACAATTTCCACTAAAAAAATAAGCAATATATGCAGAAGTAAAATCTCAACGGGTGTGTTTCAAGATAAAATTGAGGAAATCTTCCCAGGAAATACAACAAAAAGTGGGAGAAAAAGGGAAAAAACAGAAGATAAAAAAGAATGAGGCACAAAATCTCCAAAGAAATAATTCAAGAACATTCCCATGAAAGAAGCTTGTAATAAATAGGACACACTGCCTTCCTAACATCATCCAAGGATAAAAATGGATCCAGATCAAGGAACATCCTCATAGGCAGAAAACTGGAGGCAAAAAAATACTCTAATGATATCCAGAAAGAAAAACATATCAAAAGCAAAAATAGAGACTTCAAGAGCAACTCTGGGAGCTAGAACATCCACAATGGGAAAATGCCCTCAAATCATTTAAAAAAAAAATGTAATTTCCATTCTAAGTATATATTCAACCAAAATCTTCCTCAACATGGGGGCAGAATAAAGATCTTTCCAGAAAGATAAGGTCTCAAACTTTTCTTCCTTGTGTCCTTAAGAAATCATGGGAAGATGTATTCTCCCAAAACAAGGGCGTAAGGAAGAAAAGATATGACACTCAGGAAACATTCCTTTAAGAGGAAGCTGAAGGGACTCTCCATTAGAATGGTTAGAAAGAGACCCCCAGGGGGACTTCCCTGGTGGTCCATAGTTAAGAACCCACTCGCCAATTCAGGGGAGGCAGGTTTGGGAAGGAAGACCCCACTATGCCACGGGGCCCCTAAGCCCACACACTGCAACCAGGAAGAAGACCATGCACAGGGAGAAGAGATCTCTTGTGCCTCAGCGAAGATCCTGATGCGGCCAAATAAACAGGTAAAATTAAAAAGAGAGGGAGGCCCTCAAGCCCACAGTTAGGCAGAGCTAGAATGTCTGCTGGAAGGAGGAAGAAGAGATCGCTTGTGCCTCAGCGAAGATCCTGATGCGGCCAAATAAACAGGTAAAATTAAAAAGAGAGGGAGGCCCTCAAGCCCACAGTTAGGCAGAGCTAGAATGTCTGCTGGAAGGAGGAAGAAGAGATCGCTTGTGCCTCAGCGAAGATCCTGATGCGGCCAAATAAATAGATAAAATTAAAAAGAGAGGGAGGCCCTCAAGCCCACAGTTAGGCAGAGCTAGAATGTCTGCTGGAAGGAGGAAGAAGAGATCGCTTGTGCCTCAGCGAAGATCCTGATGCGGCCAAATAAACAGGTAAAATTAAAAAGAGAGGGAGGCCCTCAAGCCCACAGTTAGGCAGAGCTAGAATGTCTGCTGGAAGGAGGAAGAAGAGATCGCTTGTGCCTCAGCGAAGATCCTGATGCGGCCAAATAAACAGGTAAAATTAAAAAGAGAGGGAGGCCCTCAAGACCACAGTTAGGCAGAGCTAGAATGTCTGCTGGAAGGAGGAAGAAGAGATCGCTTGTGCCTCAGCGAAGATCCTGATGCGGCCAAATAAACAGATAAAATTAAAAAGAGAGGGAGGCCCTCAAGCCCACAGTTAGGCAGAGCTAGAATGTCTGCTGGAAGGAGGAAGAAGAGATTGCTTGTGCCTCAGCGAAGATCCTGATGCGGCCAAATAAACAGATAAAATTAAAAAGAGAGGGAGGCCCTCAAGCCCACAGTTAGGCAGAGCTAGAATGTCTGCTGGAAGGAGGAAGAAGAGATCGCTTGTGCCTCAGCGAAGATCCTGATGCGGCCAAATAAACAGGTAAAATTAAAAAAAAGAGGGAGGCCCTCAAGACCACAGTTAGGCAGAGCTAGAATGTCTGCTGGAAGGAGGAAGAAGAGATCGCTTGTGCCTCAGCGAAGATCCTGATGCAGCCAAATAAATAGATAAAATTAAAAAAAGAGAGAGGCCCTCAAGACCACAGTTAGGCAGAGCTAGAATGTCTGCTGGAAGGAGGAAGAAGAGATCGCTTGTGCCTCAGCGAAGATCCTGATGCGGCCAAATAAATAGATAAAATTAAAAAAAGAGAGAGGCCCTCAAGACCACAGTTAGGCAGAGCTAGAATGTCTGCTGGAAGGAGGAAGAAGAGATCGCTTGTGCCTCAGCGAAGATCCTGATGCAGCCAAATAAATAGATAAAATTAAAAAGAGAGAGAGGCCCTCAAGCCCACAGTTAGGCAGAGCTAGAATGTCTGCTGGAAGGAGGAAGAAGAGATCGCTTGTGCCTCAGCGAAGATCCTGATGCAGCCAAATAAATAGATAAAATTAAAAAGAGAGAGAGGCCCTCAAGCCCACAGTTAGGCAGAGCTAGAATGTCTGCTGGAAGGAGCAGGTTAAAAGATATATGAAGACTAGCATCACCTTGACACCAAAATCAGACAAAGGTATCACAGGAGAAGAGCATTACAAGCCAGTATCAATGATGAACATCAATGCAAAAATCCTCAGCAAAGTATTAGCAAACTGAATCCAACAATACATTAAAAGAAGTGCATACCATGATACCCAGAGATGCAATAATTGTTCAATATCCACAAATCAATGTGACAGACATCAACAGACTGAAGAATAAAATAATATGATCTCAATAGAAAAATTTTTGACAAAATTCAACATCCATTTATGTTAAAAACGCTCCAGAAAGTGGGCATAGATGGAACATACCTTAACATAATAAAGGTCATTTTGACAAGCTCATTGTGAACATATTAAACAGAAAGCATTTCCTCTAAGATCAGGAACAGGACAAAGATGCCCCCTCTCACTTTCGTTCAACATAGTTTTAGAAGTCAATCAGAGAAAAAAAGGAAATAAAAGGAATCCAAATTATAAAGGAAGAAGGGAAACTGTCACTGTTTGCAGATGACATACTATACAGAGAAAACCCTAAAGACACCACCAGAAAACTACTAGAGCTCATCAATGAATTAAGTAAAGTTGCAGAATCAAAATTAACATACAGAAATCTGCTGCATTTCTATACACTAGTAATGAACTATCAGAAAGAGAAAGTAAGGAAACAATCCCATTCACCATCACATCAAAAAGAGTAAAATACCTAAGAATAAACCTACCTACGGAGGTAGAAGAAGCCACAGGGCTTCCCTGGTGGCTCAGCTGGTGAAGAATCCGCCTGTGATGCAGGAGACCTGGGTTCAATCCCCTGGGTTGGGAAAACCCCCTGGAGAAGGGAAAGGCTACCCACACTCCAGTATTCTGGCCTGGAGAATTCCATGGACTGTTAAGTCCATGGGATCGCAAAGAGTCGGACACGACTGAGCAACTTCAGAAGGAGGAGGAGGTAAAACATCTGTACTCACAAAACCATAAGATACTGATGAAAGAAACCGCAGACAACACAGAGGGCAGGATATACTAAGTTTGTGGACTGGAAGAACTAATATTGTTGAAAGGGCCACACTACACAGAGCAATCTACAGAGTCAGTGCAACCCCTATCAAAACACCCATACCCATAACATCATTCACAGAACTAATATTTTTAAGATTTTTTAAAATATGGACCATTTTAAAAGTTTCTATCACATCTGTTACAATATTGCTGCTTCTTTTTTCTTAATCCTTTGTTTACTGGCTGCAAGGCATATGGGATTTAAGCTCCCCAACCAGGGATGGAACCCACACTCCCTGCACTGCAAAGTGAAGTCTTAACCACTGGACTGCCAGGGAAGTCCCTAATAATTTTTACATTTGTATGGAAACACAAAAAACCCACAGAGCCAAACCCCCTTGAGAAAAGAAGACAGCTGGAAGAGCCAGGCTCCCTGGCTTCAGACGACGCTGCCAAGCTTCAGGAATAAAAACAGCACGGCGCAGGCACAGGAGACAGACACACACATCAAGGGAGCACCACAGAGCGCCCCGGAATAAACCCCACACTAAGGGTCATTAGTACGTGACAAACGAGGCAAGGATGTAAAATGCAGAAAAGACAGTCACTCCAGTAACTGGAGCTGGGAAAACTAGATAGCTACTTGTAAAAAAGTGAAATCAGAATGTTTTCTCACACTATATACAAAAACATAAAGACCTAAATGTAAGACCAGAAACCATAAAACTCCTTGAAGAAAACAAAGACAGAAAACTCTGACAGAAATTGTAGCAATATTTTTTTTGGATCAGTCTCCTAAAGCAAAAACAAAACAAATGGAACCTAATTAGACTGCAAAGCTTTTGCACAGCAAAGGAAACTATCAAAATGGGAGAAAACATTTGCTAATAATATGATAAATAAGGGGTTATATCCAAAACGTATGAACAGCTCACATAACTCAACATCAATAAAACAAACCACCCAATAAAAACTGAGCAGAAGACTTGAATAAACATTTTTTCTGAAGAAGATATCCAGATGGTCAACAGGAACATGAAAAGATGCTGAACACCAGAAGAATGCAAACTAAAACCACAATGAGGTGTCACCTTACACCTGCAAGAATAGCTATCATCAAAAAGAACACAAATAACAAAAGTTGGCAAGGATGAAGAGGAGAGAGAACCCTCATGCACTGTCAGTGGGAATGTAAACTGGTGCAGCCACTAATTATTGCAAAACAGTAAGGCAGTTTTTCTCAAAAAACTAAAAATAGAGCTAGCGTATGACCCAGCAATTTTACTCCCGGGTACATATCTGGAAAAAACCCCAAAACATTAATTCCAAACAATACATGCATAACAACCAACGTTTATAGCAAGATAAGGAAACAACTCAAGTGTCCATCAACAAGTGAATGAATAAAGAAGATGTAGTGTGTATGTGCTTTTTCGTGGCCGAGTAGTATCCCACCGTACACACAAAAAGAATGAAATTTTGCTATTTACAACAACATGTACAGGCTTGAAAGGAGTATGCAGAGTGAAATAAGTCAGAGAAAGACAAATATTGTATATCATTTATCTGAGGAATCCAAACAATATAACAAACCAGTGAATAAAACAAAAAGGCAACATGCTCACAAGACACACGAAGAACTTCTGGTCGTTAGTGGTGAGAAGAAAGGGGTAAAGAGGCACAAACTATTCTGTATAAAGTAAGCTACAAGGATTTATTATACAACATGGGGAACGTGGCCAATATTTTACAATAACTATAAATGGAGTATAACCTTTAAAATTGTGGATCACTATGTTGTACAATTACATAACACTGCTCATCAAGATCAATAAAAAAGTAAGAATAAAAGCCAATACAAAAACTTTAAAAAATTATGTGGTAAAATTTCAGATACTGAGAAATAGCCAAAGTATTTGAAAAAAACTGAAAATAGTTATGTACAAATGGGAGAAGAAAATATTACCCATGAGAAGAAATTCCTGATGCTAGGAAAAACAAAATGTTGTAGAGGAAAGAAAATCACAGTACATCATACAACGTTTGCATATTAGCATCATGATCTAACCACACAGGATCACTCTATTAGGCCTGAAGGCACTGTTAGCTGTGTGAAAAAAAGCTAAACTCTTCAATTTTGTATTGGAGGGGGTTGGGAATCATTAAATCCTGATTAAAATGATTATCATGTGTCATACAACAGAAGAAATTTTGCTACATGTACTAGCTAACAAAACTCTAACATTCAAAACAAAGAATTTCTACGAATCAATAGCAAAACAAAACCACCAATTAGTATAAGGGCCCAAAAAAATTACAAAAAGAATTCACAAAAAATGCAATCAAGTAGGATCCAAATATGAAGATCTTCATTTAATGCTGGAAGGAGGTGAACTGGCACAATCCATCAGAGTGTGTATAATCTTTTGATGTACTAAGGCGCATGCCTTTCGACGTGCAACCCCCTTTCCAGGTATAAACCCTAAGAAAACAGGTATGTGTGTCCCAGGGCACATAGAGGACTGTGCAGAGCTGCGTGTCCTGATAGCTAAGAACAACTCAAACTTTCATCAACAGGATACAGATAAACTGGTACATTCATACAGTGATTTACTCTACAGGGATGAAAATGAACAAATTACTGCCTTAAAAATGCTTAACTAGGGACTTCCCTGGTGGTCCAGTGGTTAAAAATCCACCAGCCAATGCCGGGGACACAATGCCTGGTCCGCGAAGATCCTCTGTGCCGTGGAGCAACTAAGCCTGCACTCTAGAGCCTGGGCCCCACAGCACGAGAAGCGGCTGCAGCGGGAAGGCCGTGCACCGCAGAGCAGCCTCTGTTCACGGCACCCTGAGAAAGCCCGGGCGCCACAACGAAGACGCAGCACAGCACACATACATGGATGAATACAGAAATACATAATGAAGAAAGAATTTTTTAAAAAACTGCACCTTTGTTTAAAAAAAGAGAAGTGCTTAACTATGTTGCAAGAGTTGAATGCTGTTTATAGGTAAATCTAAACACACACGTCTCTATTCTGCCAAGTACAAGAGACCAAAGAAAAGAGACATGCATGGTTTCAAAATTCAAAGAAAAAAAAATTATACTGAAGACATCCAAAACTCAAGTAGGGATACAAACTACCATTACTACATACTTACTGGAATTAGGAGCTGTTCCAGAGCCAAATGCAGACTGACTAGGCTGCTGTCCAAACACAGGAGGCTGTCCACTGCTTGACACTGTCCCAAAAGTAGGTGGTGCAGGCTGAGAACCAGCAGAAAATAATGCCCCTGAAGATGATATAGATCCAAAGCCTGGGGGATGAGGCTGGCTGGCACCTTGACTTTGTCCAAATGTTGGGGTCTGGTTAGCACCAAATGCTGGACTGGCAGATGGTGCTGAAGGTCCAGTGCCAAACACAAAGGAGGATCCTAGAGACCCAGAGAAACACTTAAATCACCACAGACGGCTAAACAGGAAATAATCCTCAAGAAATGTCTGTAAGCTGAAATGCACATATCAAGATTCTTTGCAGACTTTTACCTTGCTGAACAGATCTTACCAGGACAAGTTTTGAATTACAGATGAAGAAATACAATGCTTGCTACCATTATTTAGTAAAACCATACAGAATCCATTAACAAAAACTTCAATTAACAAAGACTCCTATCTTGCAGCCAAAAATATTTAGGTCTTTAAATATCTAAGACGACTGATCTCCTATCAGAAAAGCAACATACTGCAGATACTGACTATTATGTGGTCATGTATCCACTGCATAAAGAGGACTAATGTCTAATAAAATAATCTTCAGTGTCTGGATATTTACAACATTAAAAAAACACTTGAACAAACACTTGAACAAAAGATTACACTCCTAATGAGATTAGAAAATTGCTTCCAAGAGTTAATTACATTAAACTCAAAATGTACATCATTCCACGTTGAATAATTACAACATCCCAGCTAGAGATGACCTAAATGCAGCCATGCTTTCTTGTGATATTATATGCTAAGAGTTCATCTACATATAATGAAAGCCAATCCAACTGCAACATGTTTTTGTCTTTTTAAAACGTACCTGCAGAGCTAGATGTGGTTGTAGCTCCAAAGTTGAAGCCAGAGGGTGCGGTACTATTACTGCTGGCTCCTGGACCAAAGACAAACGGGGTGACAGCTGAACCCGTGCTTGACGTGGCTGCTGGCTTGCTCTCTTGAGAGAAGAGCAAAGACTGAGATGTACTGGATTCGGCAGCGTTTCCAAACGCAGAGCTGCTCACGGGGTTGCTGGCCTGTCCAAACACAAAGGCAGCCACAGGAGCGCTGGAGGAAGAGGTGGAACTACCAAATATGCCACCACCAGCTGAAGTGGCTGATGCACTTGAATTAGAGGAACTGCTGTTCAAGAAACTAAAAACTGGCTTGGCCGCACCTTGATCTGTAAGATGGAAATTAAGAAACAAAATTCTTCAAGAACAAGTAATACCAGAAGGCATGTTTCCTACCCCAAAATCTAAGAGTCCACTAGAAAACAGAATCATTAAGATTTTAATATAAATTAGTTCATCGAATGGAATTTTTTTGATTTAGTTTTGATTTAGTCAAACACATAAAAATATTCATATACATATATGTGTATTTGCAAAATATACATTATTTTTAAATATTCCTTAAATCCAAATCTCACTGGACACCAGGTCTGGACAGCATATTCAGATTAGCAGGAGATAGTTACCCTTTCCTAAATTTGATTTTGCAGGTTATGTTAGCAGGACTGTAACTTCAGTCTATCTGAACAAATGCCAATTCTTTGTGATCTCTGCTGACTAGTGCAACCTCTGCTCACTAATTTGTAACTCTACAACATACTAAACTTCCAAACCTCTACAGCTACTGTTGCTAGACTGTTTCAAATATTGAAGCCTTACAGTATCGCTGGATATTAGTAGGGCAAACCTGAACGGCATGTCGGCCTTTCTCTCCACAATTTCTTGTAAGTTTTCCCTTCCATATGAATTTTTAGAATTATTTTCACTTAAGTTCACAAAAATTCCTCTAAGAACTGAAATTCTACCGGGGGTGAGGTGGAGAGGAAAGGATATTCGCTCAGGAACAAGCATAAAACACCTCTTTTATGTTCTCTTAGTCATCATGTTGCAGGTTCTGCTGATATTATAAAACACGAGTTGGAACTGTTAGAAAATATAAATGGGATATGCTACCAAACTATTCACTTTTGATTTGGAGGAAAGCTATTGATTTTTAATATGGTGACCCTGAATCCAGCTATCTTTAGTAGAAGACTTTTTTAAAAAACTTGTTCCAATATCTCAATTCCAGCACTATAAACTAGACAGGGCTGGTCACACTGCGGTATGGGCACCAGTATAATTGACAGTAAATGTAATAATAGGTCACTTTAAAGTTGCTTAATAGGATGTTTAAAATGTGTATTTCAATGGAAATAGTATAGTGATACTAGGATTAAATTGGATTAGACCCTATCTCATTTTTATTCCTTCTAAATAATAATGGATAATTTAGTTTTTGCTTTCTTTGAAGGGTGTTTTTCAATTTTATAGATAAATTTTATAATTTATTTATATCTAAAATTTCATAGATAAAAACTGCTCATACCTAGGTGCTGAATTCCATACAAATATATTCAGGTTAGTTTTTCATTTTCTTGTGTTTCCAATTTATTATTCAAAAGTGTTCATAGGTATTCGACTTTTGATTCTTTGCTTGTCTGAACAACATCTGTGTGTTGCTCCTACAGTCTGACAGCATTTGACTGGTTAACAGAATTCTCAACTCAAGACCACTTCTTCACTTTGAGGTCAGTGCTCTACTGTTTTTAGCATTCCACGTTACAAATGAGAAGTCTGATGCTAATCTGATAATCTATTTGTGGCAAACTCTTTTCTCTGAAAGCATTCAGGATTTTGGCTCTGGTGTCCTAAAATTTCACTGGTCCTTTGCAGTGAACATGTCATTTTTAAGACCAGTGTCTTTCTTTACATGTGGGAGATTTTCTCCTGTCGCTTCTTTGATATTTCCTTCATACTGTCCTCATCTTCTAAGCACTCCAATTCCAATGGAACTTGTGGATATGGCTTAGATCTCTCTGTTCTTTTACACTGTGTTCTGGGAAATTCCAGCTCACTAATCCGATTATCAGCTGTTTTTCTTTTTTTTCTTCCTGCTACTCAGTCCACAGAGTGATTTTATTTCACCAATTATGTTTTTTTTTTAATTTTTTAAAAATGCTATTTCATTTTTTTCTTCGTGATTTTAGTTTTCATATCCACCTCTACTTCTCAGGGATTTATTGTATTTGTTGCCTATGTTCCTTGAATGCCAGCTGAAGACTGGCTATTGCTATTTGTATATGAAGGCCTGTACATGAAGACTTTATTAGAAAGTATTTCCTGAGCTTAAGGAAAAAAAATGCTTATCTTCCTGAATAGTGTGTGTCAATTCTGATTTTAAAAGCTCAAACAGAAGGGAAAAAGTCACAGACAAATGTGCAAATATTGTGAGCTTTCCATCAGAGCTACATTTCTCAAACTGAGACCTGCAGATAACTTCGTCAGAATCACGAGGGTGGAGGAGGGGATGGCGGGGGTGGTATGGAGCAGTTAAAACTGAAAGTTCTCTACTCCTTCCCAGAGTTCTGTGACTGGTACTCTCTCAACTATGTCCAGTGTAAACCATCCCTTGACTTGCTGCATTTGTCGACACCTTGTAAAAAAAATAAATAAAAACGTAATGCTTACCAGCTGCAGTACTGGTTTGAGCGCCAAAAGCAAAAGTGGGCTTTGCTGGCTGCTCGGATCCCTTTTCAGACGGTTTCACCGCGCTGAAACTAAAGGTTGACTTGGAAGAGCCCTCGTCTTTGGCTTGCTCTGAATTCCCAAAGGAGAACACCGGGGGGCACTTCGGCTCTTCACTGTCAGCTTTCTTCCCAAACACGAGAGACGTGGAAGTGACAGGCTCTTGCTGTTTCTCTTCTGTCCTTCCCAAAACGAACGAGGCTGCTGGCAGAGGGGCAGGGGCCACGCTGCCGAACGTGAGCCCTCCTTTGGTGGCAGGCGTTTCTTCCTTTTTCGCTTCTGAAGTCTGACACGTGAAAGGAGCCACAGAGACACTCTTGGTGTCTGTGGTTCCAAAACTGAAGCCACTCTTGCTCTCAGAGGTCACCGCGGTGTCAGCAGCAGCAGCGGGGGGAGGGTTAATGACACCTGAACCAAAGCTAAAGCCTGTTGATGAAGATTTAGGCAGTTGTTCTTTCTTTTCTTGCTGCCCGAGACTAGACACCCCAAACTGAAATGGAGCTAAAGGAGCTGGATTGCTTAAACCAGAAGAAAGTCCAAACTTAAAATTATTGTCATTTTTACTGTCTTTTTTGACTTCTTCAGGTTTAGAATCAGATGAAACTCCAAATTTAAAATCTCCTGTGGGTTTAGAAAATTTGAAGCCTTCACTCAAGGGGTTTGCAGACCCTGAATCTGATGACACGCCAATTTTGAAGCCTCCTTGATCTCCAAATTTAAACTTCCCAGTGCTGGCTAATGTCTGAGAGGGCCCAGAAGAGGGTGATGGGATGCCAAACTTGAAGGATGAGGTTGGTGCGTTCGAAGACGAGGAAGATGTGCCGAAGCCTTCAAAAACATAAAGATACCACACAGACACTGGATCAATATTGCTAAATGCCATTCAGTCAAACAAAATGTCAGCCTTGAAGAGGAGGAGGAGACAGACAGCTCAGACCAGGCCTACTTCGAAGAGCATTCGTTTAACAATGACAGTGAACACGAACCAAGCTGCCCCTCCTTCAGCATAAGAAGTACACCTCAATCCTCACAGCCACATTTCATCTATCAGACTGACAGAGATCAAACAAGTCTGATACATCAGTACTGGTGATCAGGCTAGGAGTAACAGACAGTCTTGATATGGCAGGCAGACATGTCAATCAGCAAAAAGTTGGTGGGAGGCAACTTGTCAACATTTACCCTAAATTACAAACACAGGTACCTTTGACCCAGCAAGTCTGCAGCTGAGTATATTCGAATGATAAACTCACAGTATGTAAAGTCCATACGCCACTCAGGCAGCCGTAAATGAAGAACTGAGACACTTCTGAGCTAATCTGTGGTAACAGCAAGGGTGCAGAAAGGTGATGGTGCCCACAACCTTTCCTAACAAGGCAGAGAGAAGTCAGAGTGCAGAGAAGAGAAGCACATCTACCTGTGATGTGCATAAAGAAATGCTGAAAGAGAGACAAGAAACTAAGCACAGATGACCACTGCCGCTGGTGGGGCCGTTGGTGGGGCAGGAAGGATGGAAAATGAGCCAATGAGGGCAAGAGACAGACCTTTCACTGGGAGTCCTGTCATAACCTGCTTCTTCCATCTTGTGAGCAAATGTGTGATTTACTTAAGAATTCAAGTATTTCGCACGAAAGAACCAGAACTGTATGAGTGGAAGCAGTATTTTAAAAGATAAAAATACTATGACAAGATCAAAGTCTTGGTTTCAGAATGCTTTTCCGTAGTAGAATAAACTAGAAATTAAGCTCCTGACTGACTGGCTCCACACAGAGATCAATGAATGGACCAAGGTATTTATGCACTGTTCCCACATGTAAACTAACAAGTGACAGCCAAGCACTTGTCTTCAGATTTCCTTCCCTTTAATGGTTTACCCACCCAACTTTCTTTCCCTAAGAAACTTACTTGAAAAATTACATTAGCATCTCAAGAGCAAATGGCAATGCCTTCTGTGACGTCAAACAGAAAGCAAAAAAAACAAAGGGGTCAAAGACAATAATTAACTATCACCTCTGCCTCAAAGGAGTTGAGGCACAAAGGCACTTCTGCCTCAGAAAGAAGGTTTAAGGTATGGTGATTACTACCAGTGGGGAAAATGAGAAAGAGACCATGAGGCAACAGCTACAGAATGAGTTTTAGTGATCTCCTAAAATCCAAGTGCAGTGTTCTTCAAACCAGCTGTAACCCTTAGTCATGTCATTACTGCACTGGGCTGCAACAAGCATTTTCCTTCCCAAAGAAAAAATAGTAAAAGAGCAAATGTATATCCTCACTCCTGACCACCAAATAATTCCACTACACAGTAATTCAGAGATAGATTATGTGCTACAAGTCCAGGATAACACCTCATTTTATAAGAATTTTCAAGAAAGAACCATTTTAAAAACAAAGCTGTGTGCAAACATTTCACTTTATAAGGAGGCACTTCACCAACACCTCACCTGTAAACTCGGGATTTGTGTGTGACTTTACACTTTCACATGCGATACATTTGGTAGAATCTGCTTTATTCTCCACGAGGCACACTTCACAGTTCCAGCTTCCCTCGGGTTTCTTGAACTTGTCCAATCCTAGGCAGCCTCCAGAGGACAGGGAGACTGGGGGGGCCGTGCTGCTGCTTGAAACAGGTACTGAACTTCCTAAAAAACAAAGCAAAAATACAAAATTCTGATTTACATCATGTCACGATCTCCATGACACCACTAAGTCCAAATGAACAATTTTTATCAGTGTTTCCTATTAAGATAAAGAAAATGCCAGAAATCTAAACATCACATTGTTAAAAACGGTCCAGACAGCTCAGATTTCTTTTAGTCTTATAAATGAGCAACTCACACTCACCTTGCTCACTGATGAGTGTCCTCTTAACCCCAAGGTTGAATAGCCTTTTTTTTTTTTTCAAATGATGCTCTCAGATCAGAGCATAAAAGACTAAATTCTTCTTAATAATGTTTGTCAAATTTTGTTAAGCATCACAGATTATAAAACATAAGTTATAAATTGTAGGCAACAGCTAACACGTAAAATACACAGCCATGGCCATATTAATCTCAAGATTCCAAAGCACAGATCTCTGACTTTGAAATGACCATTTCTGCACAGAAGTGTTCTATTATCCACTTTGTAATTCAAGTTCACATGACCTACTATGTTCAACACATTTCTGTTAAAGTGTAGCCATTTAACAGACATTGATTAAAGCACTGTAATGGTCTTAGGTTCTGGGAATATCAAGATGAATAAACTGTCGATTCTAAAGGTGCTTCTGGTCTAAAAAGGGGAAAGTAAAACAAACATAAATGCATAGTACCACCATCGCCAAGATGGAGTGACAATGATCTAAAGAAGCGCAGAGAGAAGACATTACTACGAGACCGGAGGAGGATTCACAGAGGTCATATTTACACTTTGAAGCAGAATTAGCAATTTCGTGGGGAGAGGCGGCAGCATGGGGGGATGGCTCGGTAAGGCACAGTGTGTGAAGAAATGCAGGGCTGCAAGTAAAGCTGTTCACTCTGGTGCCCGCTTCTCTCAGCGTCCTCCAGCTGTTTTCACTTCTCCAGTTACCTGCTCTGTGGTTTACCAGTATGTTCTCTTCCACTTTGCCAATAAAATCCTGCCATCTTCGGTCCACTGCCCTCTCACAAGCTCTCAGCTACCCTGATAATTTTAATCACCTACAAAATCTTTCCCATTCGCACCCAAGACCCACACTTCCGGGCATCAGCTCTGTACTCTCTCTTTGATGGCAGCTCCACTACGCACCTGGCTGGCCTGGTGAGATGACAACTCTTCCCTGATGTATCTCTGCAATCTGTTTCATTCTCTTCCTCTGACCCTTCTACTGCTCTTCTAGTGGACAGCCTTATTGAGATTTCTGGTTTGGTTCCCTTGAAACCCATCCTCCTAAGAAGCAACCAGTATCACGCGGTTCTTGTTTGGTTCTTGTCTTTCCTCTCTGGTTACTCCTTTAAAAGATTAAGTGTTTCAAAACTCTATTCCTGCTACTCTCTTAAACTAAACAGAGTTCAGTTTTAGGCTATCCTCTGTGTTTGCTCCATTCACTCACCTTACATCAGCTCTATTCTCATCATTTATTTGAAAATTATGAGCGAACGATCCCCAAATCTGTGTCTCCAGTCCAGAGGGTCTATAATCAGTTTTATATCTTAAAAAATCTCACACATATCTGTCAACTTCAGCAGCTTGAACTTAATGTATCTTGAACTAAATACATTATTCTATCCCCCTCCACTTGATTTCATTAGTACATATCACCACCATCTCTACCTATATTATTGATCACATTCCTAATCTGTGCTCTCGTCTCCAAATTTTGTTGCCATCAAATCCATCCTCCAAAAAGCCACTGGGTGACTGAACAAAAGTACAAGTTTGACCCATCAACTCAATTAATTTTGCTCTCAGACATGCATCAACAGCTTTCTTTTTCTGTTAAGGGGACAATGAGGAATGCCAAATGGGAAGAAGAAGATATTTCCGAATAAAGACTCTGAAATCTTATTCCTGTAGAGCTGTCTAGCAGGAATCAGAAATATAGTTCACCCCTTGTGTTAGGACAGGGTTCTAGGCTATTAAGAGCTTTTCATTGTAGACACAAAACCACGCATCCATCAATTATGCAATAAAAATAGGAAGTATAATTCCCAGGACACTCATAACATGTTTTATTTAGGATCTCTGTTACCATGTATCTGTACCAAATAATTATATAATAGTATTACAAAAACATCAAAGAGTCAAATGAATTAATTCCAAATGAATTAAAGATCAGTGTAAATCTTCAATAGCTCTTTCAAAATTGAACAGAGAAACAGGAAAAATTCAACTCTAACTCCATTTTTTTGTCTGCCCAATAGTATTTTTTCATTAACGATTTAATAACTTATGATCATTGCAGGATCTCTGGCAGATAGCACATACAGGTACAGGTATCATCATTAGTACTCAGCCACACTCTTCTGATAACGCAATACTGTCTACTCCTTAATGAAACTAGCTGTGGAAACGACCACTAGCCATCCTCACTTCCTCTTTGAGAAAAAGAGACAGAGTAGTATTTTATTCTGTGTAAAGGTTTGAGAAAGAGTGCTCCATTCTAAGACCTTTGCATCTGTATCAGCCAACTTTGAAAATGATCACGAAAAGCCAGAAGTTTCTAATAAAAGTGCACACAAAGAAGAGGCCAAAGCAAAGGCTGGACTGATTAAACACACGACCGAGCCTAAGAGAACATGCAGTGCCAGTTCCAAGCAAGTCATTTCCATTTCAAGACAGTTTGGAAAATTACGACATATGAGGAAATTCTCATCCTGAAACGTTTAAAATACTGAGGTTGTTCTTAGCTGTTTTACAGAGAATTAAAATGTTCTATTAAAGTAATGAACAAAATTATTCCAAACAGCCATAAACGTACCTGGTTTCTCAGACATACAGGACACACACTTATTGTCTTCTGCATTATTAGAAACACAGCACACTGGACACTCCCAAGATCCCACGGGCCTTTTGAATTTATCTGCAAATCCTAAGGCACCAGTGGTCACAGTGCAGCTGGAGGAGGAGGCAGCCACAGTTACAGCACTTTCTGAAGCCACTGGCAACGTAAGGGCGCGCTTAACACCAGTTCCTGGTTTCGGTGTTTCACAAGCTACACATTTTATCGCTTCAGGCTTATTCTGCACTAAACAGGTATCACAATCCCAAGTTCCTACTGCTGGTTTAAACTTGTCTCCGAAGCCTGTCGTCCCTGGTGTGGGAAGAGTCAGTTTGCCGCTTTTACTTGGTGTCCCAGCTCCAGTCTGTTTAGCGGTATCTTTTGGTAGCAATTTTGTTGCTTGGCAGGCTACGCATTTGTTGTCTGTGACTTTGTTCTGGAGTAGACAAGTATCACACTGCCACGACGACCCAGCTTTTAAACCTTCCCCAAACCCAGTTCCACTAGAAGAGAAACTACTTATTGCTGGTCTTGTGTAAACTACCGGGCTTGTGGTGGTAGGTTGAGCAGCAAGAGAATCTGCCTTCGGTGATGTGAAACCTACAACCGGGGGGAAAGAGAGGAGTGGGAGGGAAAAAGTCAGTTAATGTTTTGATTAGAATATTTCCCTGTTTATTGTTAGTAAATATTAAAAACATTAATTACTATTGGGCTGGCTAAAAAGTTCATTTGGGTTTTTTCCGTAAGATCTTACAGAAAAACCTGAAACAAACTTTACAGCCAACCCAATAATGAGATACATTTATAGCTGTTAGTAATATTATTCCTGGGAGAAAACATTTTTTACCTTAATTACAGAGTTATTACAATCCAAGATGGACTACTTACGAGTTTTCACCTAAGCTGTATCTCCAGCACTAATGACACTGTTAGTAACTGACAACCCAGTCAAGAGTCTACAGGAGGTGTTTTGTTTATGGTGTATCATCATCCTCTAGGAACTTTAGTTTACTCTAGTTCAGTCAATACCTAATTTATGACTGGGGATTCCCAGGTGGCTGTGATGGTAAAGAATCCGCCTGTCAATGCAGGAGACCCAGGTTCGATCCCTGGGTCAGAGAATGGCTACCTGCTCCAGTATTCTTACCTGGAGAATCCCATGGACAGAGGAGCTTGGCAGGCTACAGTCCATGGAGTTGCAAAGAGTCAGATATGACTGAGCGACTCGACTGAACTGAAGGTATACACGTAGAATCACGAAATACTGAGGAAAGGTTTTGTGCAATAAAACTGGTATCATTTAATTGATTCAGTCAAGCTATACTTTATTTGGAGAAACAACCTTTCAATCTTTTTACTTTGGACCAACTAACTTTTATTCTACATACACCAAAAAAACAGTCATCTCTCTAGACTGTAGCATCAAAGGAAAGAAAAACGGAAAGATGATACAGAAGGTTTGTTAGAGGTTTTTAGTGGCCCCAAGAAATAATCTAGCCTAGAGCTATTTTTCCCCAAAAGACAAAACAATTCCACATACTTCAGTTACTTCCAACAGACAACAATGTACTGTCTTGTTAATGATTAACCTGAGTCACCAAAGTTGGCAAAATTTTAACAGCAACCACTTCAAGGTGTTAGTTTTTTCTTTTTTGGATTTTCAAAATTTCCCTCAAGAGAACATATAACTACTCCAAATTTTTGCTTTCTGAAACAGTTTAAAAGAGGGAATGGGCATTATGGATCCAGGCAAAGTGAAACTTCTATGATGACAGGCTATAATATATGCATTTGATGCTGACTACCACTTGGTTCATCCAAGCACAGGATTCTGGAGCTCTGCCCGTAACTGCATAAAATTGTCTATACTGAGACTCCAGTAAGCAATATACTAATCTATAAAGTGGGAGCTACATACACACACAACCCCCCCCCCAATCTCTCTATATCTTGTACCAGCCAACTTTATTACTAAAACTCCTATTCACCTATACATGAACACACATGTTGGATAAATATAAACTCTTTCGGAGCTACTACATTATCTTATAAATCCTTTTATACTCTCACTATACACAGCCCAGTTGGAATTATGTTATCCTTTGATTTTCATACTGAAAACCCATTCCAATTTGAGGACATACTTCTATTCATCACCTTCAAATATTACCCACCAGCATTCATATCTTCTTTCCTTTCCCCTCCCTGCCCCCACACACCCTTGTGTGTGTTACAATTAGCAAATGTTTTCTTTCCACTTGGCTTTGTTATATATATACACTACAACTGGGGAATAAACTGAGAAGAACAAGGCAGTTCAATGCTCTCAGAGAGAGACAAGTCCAGGTAGATCATCAAGTTTATTTACTTTTTCCAATTATTGGCCCATCTCTATTAACATGCAATTCACACTGTTTTTCTTCTATACTTGCCTCTTAGAGATTTCATTTTAGTGCAGTCCTTGAATTCTAAAGGAATAGTTTCTAAGGTCTTTCACCTAAAAAATTTACACCTGAACTATCGCTACATTCAAAAGACAATCTCCAATCAAACTAGACACCATTTTTAAAAGTCTGAAATACAACCAAGTGTAACAAATGATACTGAGATGAATCATGATTTTATAATTAAGATTTCTGACTATCTCAAGGGCATCTCACCAGGGCTCTTCAGAACATCTAAGACACTTCCTTCTTTCAGGGTTTTCGCCGCTCTGAAAGGGCTCTCGCAATCTTCATCCTGCTTCTTCTTACAGCTTGTACTGTTCATTGCAGTGGTATCTTGAGCTGTAATTTTTTTAATTGTAAAAGATATTATGACAAGAAAAAGCAAGTTACATGCATTTGAAAGATCTTTCAATCAACTTCTTAAAAAAAAAATTACCATAACCCAAAGATTATGACGACAAAGGACTGTACATCTCTCCTCCAATAGAGTAAAAAAATATACATATAAACTATATATAACTGATAAATGAGTCAGTTATAGATCCACTATAATGATAAGAGTCAATGAGTTCACCAGTAATCAAGAAAATCAAAACAAATCTTACAGAGGATATGGCAACTGGGACATGCTCCAACACTGTATGAAACATGCCTTGATTATACAGAAACTTCTAACAACTGATTTAAAAAAGAATTCAGACTTTCCTGGTGGTCCAGTGGTTAGGAATCAGCCTGCCAATGCAGGGAACATGGGTTCGATTCCTTGGTCCAGGAAGATTCCACATGCCCTGGTAAGTAAGCCCACGAACCACAACTACTGAAGCCTGCGCCCCCTAGGGCCTGTGCTCCCCCAACAGAGCAGCCACCAAGATGAGAAGCAGTGTAGCGCCTGATTGCCGGAACTACAGAAAGTCCACGTGCAGCAAAGACGACCCAGTGCCGTCAAAACTAAAGTTTTTAGAAGCTTTTAGAAATGTTTAAAGCTTTTTAAAATGATTAAGTCAGATATTTCTTCTAAAAATTCACCCTATGATTGAAAATACCTGTCAGTTATTATGCTGAAAACCTGGACGATAAACTCAATAAAAGGGGCTAGCTACATAAATTACAGACCACTGACATGATGGAATGCTATGCAGCCCCAAAAATCATTCTCAGAAGAACAGATACGGGAAAGAGTAGGTTAGAAAGTCCAGAAGATTGTGCCTGTTTACTTCTAGAGTAATGCTGTTACTTCTTATATTTCCCAAACTTGCTAAAATGAACATATACTTAAAATAAGTATAATATTCTTATACTTAAAATACTCTACATTGTGAGTATGATAATCATTTTGTCAACACATTTTTAAGGGGGAGTGTTTCTGTTTACAGATGAAGTATTGTTTGAAAATTACCTGACAGTTGCATCTGTGTGTGAGAGAAGGAGTGAAGGTGGGAGAAACAAGACTGGTCACAATATGGCAAAGGCTGAAGCTCAGTAAAGTGTATCTGGGGATTCAGTCTACTATTCTATTTCTGAGAATGCCTGAAATTTTCGAAACTATAAATAACCAGGGTTTTTTAAGTTTTCACCAGTTTAGTAGTAGTGGGTAAAGCAGTTCAAGAAAACCTATCTACCCTTACTTCACATCATGAGCAAAAATTAATTAAAAATGGATTGATGATCTAAACAAGAAAACTAAAACCATGAAACTCTTGAAAAGAACACCGAGGCGGGGCACATCTTCATGACCATGGCAGTGAATTCTTAGGACACCAAAAGCACAAGAAAAAAACTAAACTTCACTGAAATCTGAAATCTCTGTGCATCCAAGGACACAATCAACAAAGTGACAAGACAATCAACTGAACAGGAAAAAATACTTGCAAATCATATATCTGATAAAGATCTAGTGTCCAGACTATACAAAAAGGCAAATAACTCAGCAACACAAAGAGAAACCAATTTAAAAAATGGGCAAAGGAATTCAACAGACATTTCTCCCAAGAAGATATGTAAAAGGCCAAAAGCACATGAGACGATGCAAACACAAGTTCAAGTTTTTTAAAGCACAAGCCATCCATCGTCCTTGCTTGGTCCTGCAATAAATCTTTCTCCATCAAAAAGAAAAAAGAAAGCTAAACATAGTCCTCAGGGAAATAAATGCAAATCAAAACCACAATGAAGCATCACTTCATACCCACTAGGACGGCTATCATCAAAAAATGGGAAAGAATAAGCACGGTGCAAACATAGAGAATCCTGCTGGTGGGAATGTGAAACAGGCTGGCTGCCGAGAAGAAGTTTTATTAACTCCTCAAAAAGTTAAATGTAGGACTACCATCTGACCATCAGCTCCATTCCTAGGTACATCCTCTGAAGTACTAAAGCCAATATTGAAACAAATACATGTACATTTATTAGCAACACTATTCACAATAGTCAAAAGGTGGAATGACCTAGATGTCCACCAATAAAAAAACAGATAAGTTATGGTATATCCAAAGAGCAAAGCGTCATTCAGCCACAAAAGGAATGATGTTAACAGTACACATTACAACATAGATGAACCTTGAAAATGTGAGAGAAGCCAGATGCAAAAACTCACACTGTATGATTCCAGAATAGGTGAATACACAGAAATAGAACATGGATTACTAGTTGCCAGCAGTTGGGGGAACAGGAAATGGAGAAAAACTGGTTAATGGGTAGACTTCCTTTTAGGAGTGATAAACATGTTTTGTACTAGTTTAAAGGTGCTGACTGCACAACGCTGTGCATGTAGTAAACACCACTGAATTTTTCCCTTTAAATGATCGACTTCGTTCCTGTTGTTGTTTAGTCACTGAGTCACATCCGACTCTGCAACCCCATGGACTGTAGCCCGCTAGGCTCCTGTGTCCATGGGGTTTCCCAGGCAAGCATACTGGAGTGGGTTGCCATTTCCTTCTCCAGGGAATCTTCTCAACTCAAGGATCGAACCTGTGTCTGCTGCATTGGCAGGCGGGTTCTTTACCACTGAGCCACTAGAGAAGCCCATGATTACATCTTATCTCAATTTCACCTCAATAATAAAAATGTGCAAAAACCAAAACACCATACCTACCTCTTACAACTGTGTCAAAACAAAGAAAAATCGGCTTTTATTCATTATCACATTCTGTATTCCTTTACAGTCAAAACTGAATTGCTTTTAGAATTTAAGGTAAATTTTAAGGATTTCTTCAAGTGTACGCAAAGAGATGGAAAAAGATGACAATGTGAAAATTAGCTCCTATCATACAGCAATTAACCATGACTTTCACATTTTCAATCAGCTTTTCAATTACCAAAGTGGTGAGAAACAGAGGTGTCAATATAAGAACAATTCTATATATACTACTTATAATATACGTCTTAAAAACTCTGGAGTAATTTCCCCACATGAAATGAAACACAAAAGTTGTTTTAACAAATTGTTACTCATTCAGGGACCATTAGTAAAGCATTAGTAAATATGGAAGCATTTTAATGCCTTTCCCTCATAACCAGGCATGAAAATGAAATTTGAATACGTTTATTCCTTCTTGAATTCACAGTAACATTAAAGAAAAAAAGTCATATGTTAAGTACACCTGAAATAGACTTGTTACTTTCTCTTACACAGGACTACTTTATTCAATAGAAGTTAGGACTGCAAACATACCAGTCAAATTCTTATTCTGTGCTACTTGCAGAACCTATACTCTTGTCTTCCAGATCATACAAAATCAAAGACTTTCTCAGCTTATGGGTCCTGGTTCTTTGATATTCTGATTAAAAAAAAAAAAATCTATCTATGAGGGAAGATCTAGTGTTTTAAGATTCCCAAACTCAGCAGATAGTCAAAGAAACACTTCTGAATAAGGCAACAGCCCCATAACTGATACCTCAGTCCATAATACCCCTCTCCCACCCACACCCCCTCAACACACTGCTGTTACTCCAAGGAACCATCTCACACTCCACCCCCCACAGTATAAAAATTATGCAGTGTTTTCCTATCATTCAAATTAAAATTCAGTTATTTAGCACAGCACTCAAGAATCTTTAGAACTTAAAGCTACCTCTCAATCTCATGACAAATTATTTGCTATTTTCAAAGTGCATCAGGCTTTTCCTCTTGTTCTCTTGTATTTGCTGTTTGTTGGGGGAAAAGCCCTTCCTCTCAATTCTTGACCTGAGTAGTTTAGCCCAGATGATTCTTCATTCCCCAATCACCCAATACTTGAGAGCACACATCATGACCACCATAGCAAATTCCTATAGTCTAATTATCTATTCAGATAGGTAATTTTTTGAGAAATAGCCCATTTTTTGAGAAATTATGTACTACTACTGTCTGCAGTGGCTGGTATAATCCTTACGCATAAAAATGCTTGTGAATTCAAGAGAAACCCAGAGATGGATTCCACTGTAATTATAATGTGGAGAACCCTTGAATTTCCTATATTGAGATTTCATTTATAATAAACTGTCACTTTTCTTTGATTAAACAAAGACTGGATAAATTTGCTATTGTGACCATCCCCTTCACAAGCTGTAACTTATTCACATTTAGGGAGCTAATTATATTCACATAAAAGCATTTACAAGAATGGCCAAAGGTAAAAGAAGTAATTTGAAATATTAACCTATTTTTATGTAAAATACTATGAGAAAAAGTTTCTTACCTGAACTACTTGTAATTGGTTCTGAAACACTACTAGAGCCAGAAAGTTCTGTTGTTTTTGCCACAGGCACACTAAATGTAAATCCAATCTGTAGAGAGAGAAGGTGTCCTTTAACTGTCCATTTAAACAATCCATCAAATACAAAGCTCTATTTTATTTCAAGTCAAAAAAGTATACTGGATTTCACAAACTCTAAGATTCACAGTTTTTCCTATTTTAAATCTCTAAAATCGGTGTGCTTCTTATAATGAATGGTGTGTCCTAGTTTAACAAGAGCATTTTAAATTTCTAAAGCATTTTTTCATTCAAAGCCTTACATAAAATAATAATGTGTTCCTAATGCCCACTTTTGGGTTTCTAAATGCCATTTCCTAATAAAAAGTATGAGACTTCATGGACATTGAGTAGATTTCAGGCATTTGGCAGGGAAATTACAAAATTGGAATATCTAGTTGTAACAGAAAACAAGGACACAGTAAAAAAACAGAAGATAACATGTTAAAATGATACACATGACAAATACAGATGGGGCAACTAGAACACTAAACTTACGTACTATTTTTTTAAAAATATTTATGTATTTAGCTGTGCCAGGTTTCAGTTGTGCTATGAGGGATCCAGTTCTCCAACCAGGGACCGAACCTGGGCCTTCTGCGCTGGGTGGAGCAGGCGGAGTCCCAGCCACTGACCACCAGGGAAGTCTCCAACTTATACACCATTCTTACTCAAAATATTTATTATGAAGAAACAGATACATAGCGGCACATAAAACCTTCCAACTTTTCTAGATTAAAGCCAATCCAAGAGACATGCTAACTAAATGCAATATGACTTAGTTGCTAAGTCTTAATTGTAACTGGATCCGGTACCAAGAGAAACAAAACAGCAATTAAATGAGAGTCTGAGGCTGATGGTAAATCTGAATGTGCACAGTATGTTACTAGTAACATCGTGTTACATTTTTTGGGTATGACAACTGTATTGTGGGTAATACAAAGAAGTATCTTTTTTTAAAGTGGATATAAAGAAAATTAAGGGTATTAAAATATCTCCATCCTAACTTTCAAATGGTACATGAGAAGATGCATGCATACATACATACACATATATTTTGTGTATAGGTGTTAAAAGTTTTCTGTACATTGGAATTTTTTTGGTAAGAAAAATGCATTTCTTACCACCAATGGTATCTTAGAGCTTAAAAATACAGTATGCCTTTGGAATCAATCAATATGAAATACTCTTTGCTTGCTACTTACAGATGATGGAGGTAGTACATCTGACTCAGTAGATTTTACAATTGGAGATGAAAATCTAAACAAGGGGCTGCCAGTGCTGTTTGGAGAGGTCACTTGTACCTGGTTTTTCAAATTATTAAAGAAATGACACAAAAAGCTTTTTAGAAAAAGAAATTGGCAGTGAAATACACCTTAAGCAAATTAATTAAAATTAATTAAAATTAAGCAAATTAAAAGAAGTCAAAAGCATTTTTTTCCCTTTTAAATTTAAAAAATCACTTTTAACTTCTGAAAACTATTCAACATGTAACTGTTATAAGATCTGGCTTCCTCTTCAACGAGGAATATACATGATCTTGGAGGGAGATAATTACTGAAAGGAGAAAAATAACATCTATAAGAAAATGTTCAGAAAAAGTAAAAGTCAGGAAATAAGCATACAAATTTTAGGAGGAGATTAAAGATATTAATTCTACTTGAGAAAATTTTTTAAAAAGCATAAATTCATTATTAACCGAAAATAAAGTATTTTAAATGGAAATATTGTTTGAAAACACTTACAATACATTCTTCCTCTAATACAATCATAAGAATTGAAGAATGTTCCCATTATGACGTAAAAGCAAATGCTATTTCCGTTTTTCTCAGATTTCTGAGTTAACTCCCATAGTGAAAATTAATCACTGATTTAATCAGATTATCTTTTTTAAAATAAAGAAAAGCAAAAAGCACCTCTATGGAACAATGGGGTTTTTTTTACCTTATTTGTTAATGATTGTGAAGGACTAATGGGTGATGGAGAGGAAGTTGTGATCACAGAAGAACTAAAATTGAAGGTAGGCAGTGAAGAACTGGTGATGGGTAGAGAGATTTTCGGTAATACTGGTACTTCCACTTCCTAAAACACAACATATTTTATAATGACAAATTTCATTTTTTGTGTCATTCTGTTGTATCAACGTATTTTCAGGTAGAACGGACATAGTTACACGTAAATTTAGAATAAACAGGGATGAGGTAGGACTATGCAACGTTAACAATGTAGGCTCTTGAATAAGAAAAAACTAAACAATTTGAATCCCAGCTGTGCCACAAGCCAGAAATGTGACTTTCTGAACCCATCTGTCCTCAGTTATCAATTTCCTAGCTGGTGAAAATGAAAAAAAAAAAAAAAAATTAACATATCAGAGTTGTGGTTTAAATACGAAACAAAGTCACTTTCGGTCTTAGCATGTAAAATAAGCATTTGATAACTTATATGCAGAGTACATCATGCAAAACGCTGGGCTGGAAGAAGCACAAGCTGGAATCAAGATTGCAGGGAGAAATAGCAATAACCTCAGATATGCAGATGACATCACCCTTGTGGCAGAAAGTGAAGAGGAACTAAAAAGCCTCTTGATGAAAGTGAAAGAAGAGAGTGAAAAAGCTGGCTTAAAGCTCAACATTCAGAAAACTCAGATCATGGCATCTGGTCCCATCACTTCATGGCAGAGAGATGGAGAAACAGTGGAAACAGTGTCAGACTTTAATTTGGGGGGCTCCAAAATCACTGCAGGTGGTGATTGCAGCCATGAAATTATAAGACACTTACTCCTTGGAAGAAAATTATGACCAACCTACACAGCATATTAAAAAGTACGAAGCATTACTTTGCCAACAAAGGTTCGTCTAGTCAAGGCTATGGTTTTTCCAGTGGTCATGTATGGATATGAGAGTTGGACTGTGAAGAAAGGTGAGCACCGAAAAATTGATAGTTTTGAACTGTGGTGTTGGAGAAGACTCTTGAGAGTCCCTTGGACTGCAAGGAGATCCAAGCAGTCTATCCTAAAGGAGATCAGTCCTGGGTGTTCATTGGAAGGACTGATGCTGAAGCTAAAACTCCAATACTTTGGGCACCTCATGTGAAGAGCTGACTCATTTGAAAAGACCCTGATGCTGGGAAAGATTGAGGGTAGGAGGAGAAGGGGACAACGGAGAATGAGATGGCTGGATGGCATCCCCGACTCGATGGACATGAGTCTGAGTAAACTCCAGGAGTTGGTGATGGACAGGGAGGCCTGGCGTGCTGTGATTCATGGGGTCGCAAAGAGTCGGACACGACTGAGCGACTGAACTGAACCATAAGTATTGATGAGTTTGGTGAACTGCTTCGGTTTTTAATTTAATGTAAGCAAAGATCTCACTAGTCTCAAATGGCCCACATTAGAACAGACAAAAATTGAGTTCCACTTCCGCTAATGGCAGAAGACCTTGTATTTTACCAATGCTCTGACAAGTAATAATTATGGATGCTGGACAATATATTAAAAACAGCCATCTGAAAACAATAGAAAGCAACCAAAAGCAAGTAGATACTGGAGGGAAGAAGATACTGAGAAGAGGGAGGAGCTTCTTGTCCTCTTTGAGTTGGTGCCAGCTGGACAGTTGAAATTCAGAGAAAACTGCAAATCTGTTAATCGAGGCATTCAAAGGACAAACTAGGGTGACCACAATAGCTAGAAAATAAGGGGAGATGAAGTGCCACAGGAGGGGAGTCCCAAGTCTGCATATAAACTCTCCAAATCTCTAGCAGAGCAAATCTGTGTAAACTACAGGTGTATAATAAAGGCACTTAGATAAACCGAAACTAAAACCTGTTCTACAGGTTCTTCAGGGTGAAGGGAAATGACATCAAATGGAAATTCAGATTTCTGGAAGAAGTGGAGAATACGTGAGTAAACATCTCTTCCTCTTAGTTTCTTTAAAATGCACGTTAAGTATGTAAAGCAAAAATGTATTGTGGATTTACAGCATATCTAAATGTAATATAAATGATATACAGCATAAAATACCAAGGAAAGGGGGGTGGTAAATTAAACTATAAAGTTACAAGATTCTTAAATCTTACAGGAAACAATACAATATTAACACAAAGTAGAATTTAAAAAGTCAAAGACACCATAATCCCAAGAGGACTGTGTAAATTATGAGAAGGGTCAGAGACATAAAACCAACAAATAAGTAAAATGGAATGCTAAGAAATATCCAATTGACCCAAAAGAAGGAAGCTTTCAAAAAGAACAACAAAAAACAAATGCAGAAAATAGAAAATTAAAAAAGACCTTAATTCAAGCATGCCAGTCATTACATTATTTATAAGTAAACATGCCAATTAGAAAATCAGAAAAAGGGCAAGCAAGACTCAATTACATGCTGTTTGTAAGAGATTTACTTACATTAAACATAAAGACAGATAAATAGATTGGAAGTTAATGGATGGACAAAAATTTAACTTGCAAATAGTAATCCTAAGAAGGCACACTTTAGTATCAGAGTGGCTAGCTATATTAAATACCAGATAAAGTAGATTTCAAGACAAAGAATATTTCCGAAGACTTTTTTAAAAGGACATTTAGTAATATTAAAAGGGGCAAATTATTGAGAGGTCACCATAGATAAGGTGTACACACCAATGAGGGCCTCAAGAGATACACAAGCAAAAACTGATATAATTAACAGGAAAAATACAAATTCACCAAGTAAAAGCTGACAACTTTTAACTCCCATCTCAACAATTCACTAGACACATACCTCCCTTCCCCACTGCCTGCAAAATTCAGTAAGAACAAAGATGATGTTAGATTTATTATCAGTCATCTTATCTGACACTCAACAACCATAGTCTACACAATGGTCAAGACTCAACAAGCAGACCATGTGCTGGGCTACAAAACAAGTCTCAATATATTTCAAAACATTAAAATCATGAATAAATCCACTTCTAAATAATCTATGGATCATATACAAAATCAAAAAGAAAACTAGGAAAAACTTCTCAACAGAAGCACCACTATAAATCTTCTAGAAGAAAACACAGGAAGACTTTTTTTGTAGACAGGGATAGGTTTCTTAGGATACAAACAGTAAATATAATGGGAAAAATGTTTAAGTTCAGAGTTCATAAAAGTTAGAACATCTGCTAATCAGAAGATACTGTCGGGAAAAGGAATAGGCAAGTCAGACTGGGAAAAAATTTTCTAAGACACGTATCGTGACAAAGTACTTGGATTATAGAGTTCCTACAACTCAGTAATAGTAAGACAACCCTATTTTTAAAAGATCTAAACTAACACTTCTCAAAGGAAGACATTATGGCCAATAAACACATAAACAAGAACAAAATATTAAGCAAGAGGGAAAGGCAAATTAAAATTACAATGAGACATCGTCACACACAAAGCAGAATGGCTAAAGTTTAAAAGATGACAATCAACTATTGATAAAGATGCCCATCCACGGCTGTTACAATTACTTTGGGGAAAACAGTCTGTCAGTTACTTAAAAAGTTAAACACATATCATATAACCTCAGAACTTCATGTCTATCTTTGCTGACTACCTAAGACTATCCCAACATTATGTAAATCAGCAGTATTCGAACATAAAATGAAAAGTTTGGGGGAAAAAAACCCACAGGCTAGGCAAACAATTTTGCGCAGCCACTCATTATTAGTATCTGTTTCCTTAGAAATGTGGAGACTGTAGCTTGAGAGTAGAACAGAGCAGGGACAGGTTACGGGAGGCATTCTGGGATGCAAAACCAGCAGTTGGCAGGAATGGAGAAGGGGGCCCAGAGAAGGGAGGAGGTGACAAAGGGGGGTTGCTTTTCATAAAGCTCCTTACAGTTAGTAAACCAGATAGTAAAAGTCAACAAATTTTTAATCCCCCTCCAAATGTCTCAAACCAGCAAAGTTATATTAAACACATATCTGTCTGCAAGACAGCTAAAACTGAGCTACATAGATCATTCTAAGCTACAGCTGAAGATCTTAGAAACCGTATCTTTAAAAACAGAAACTAAAGGGAAATAAAATTCACAATCTGTCACCTGGTAAACACTAAACCAAGTTAATGCTTTCCTCTTATCAGGATAAACTTTTAAGAAGGTGGGGCCACACATTTTACTAAGAAATATAAAAGCTTTTTTCTGAAGAACTACCTAATCCTTTATTAATCAGATACTCTGTTATGTATACACGGCAAGGCAAATAACTCATTTTCTAAATGTAGTGAATCAAATCTATATAAAGAGTTTTAAGCAGAAAAGAAAAATTTGCTAAGTACAAAATTTTATATGCTACATGATCAACTTTATTTTTAAGATGGTATAACGCAGTAATACATTCCCTCCCTTCCCCACACTCTAGCGGAGCAACAAGTAGAACCTAAGGGCAAAGAGTCTCAAGACTGGTAACTGAGCCAAGGTCGCCAGCATGATCTCAAATATCAGAACCCAACAGGCATATGGCAGAAAGCCCAACTGCCAAAGTTAAGCTTCTGATAAGTCAGAGAGGCACAAGCGCAGGACTCTTATACTGGAAAAGGGGAGATTTAAAAAAAAAAAAAAATCATGAAAAAAAACAAACCTCTCACTCTAATTAAGACTGCAAAACAAAATACCAATAGATACGAAGGAAACACACACACAGAGCAATTTCAATCAAAACACTAGTATCTTTTTCTTTTTTTTCCAAAACATTCATTTCAGTCAACAGAAACTGTTACAGAAGACCTCCTATTTAAAAACCTAAAAACATACTCCTAATTCTCATGGGTCAGTGAGAAAGTCACAAATACAATTTCAATTAGAAAAAGCACAAATGAAAGTACAATGTAAATAACTTCAATGATTCAGCTAGGCTGAAACTGATATACAGAAGACTGAAATGGACCCATATGCAACTCAATGTAGTTATAACGAAAATACACAGTGCAACCTAGACAGGAAAGTTAATTTAACCAATCTTCAGTTAGTCCTTATCATTTTCAAACTTTCATGTTCAGAATACATAAAGAATTCTTCCCAGTAAAAGAAATAACCCAGAGGAAAAAAATGGATCAACAGAAAACGCAAAATGGCCAAGAAACTCACAAAAAGATGTCTCCTCATCCTAGTGTAGAAGGAAATGCAAATTAAAAATCCAATGGCACACCACTTCACATTCATAACATTAATAAAAATTAAAAAGAAAAAAAAACCAAGTACTGGTAAAAATAAAGGAAAACCAGATCTACCTGTTAGGTGGAAGCATTAAACTGTAAAACTACCCTGAAGAGCAATAAGGCAAGATGCGTATCATCCCCTACAATCCAACAATTCCATTCCTAGATAAGTAGCCTGGAGAAAGTACTGCATGTGTGCTGGGGGAGATGTGCATATATGCTCACACTGGTGTGTATCGCAATCAACCCAAATGCACCCTGCAGAATGGGCTGTGCTGAGTCTTCATACTGGATAAATATAGAACAGGGAAAACCTGCTATTTTCCCCAAGACTGATAAATTTCACAAATAATAAGGAAAAGAACCATAAGACAAACACATCATGTTTCAGGAATGGGCAAAACCTAACTACATAATAGTATTTCAAGGGTCAAATAATTTCAATTGCAATAGTTTTATTTGAAAAATTATGGCTTTGGACTAGTTATACCCATGAAGTTTAAGGTATTAGATTTGGTCACAGTGAAGATATTTTTAAAAGCCTGATAGTTTAAAACACACACACACTTTTAAGGAACTGTTTCAATGGCAGATAATTCCTATGCTGGGTCTCCCCAAACCTCATCCCTCCAAGGGACCTCCAGGTGTCCCCTCATTACCGCATCGAAACATGTAATAATAAACTTCAAGGTATCAGGATACTTCAAAATACATGTTAAAGAGCATAACCTTACCTCCTTCTCTTGAGGTTTAGATGCCACAACACGTGTTCTCTCTCGCCTCATCTTGCCACCTCCACCACCTACTCCAGGAGATAAACCATTGGCTGCAGACATACTGAAATTTGGATAAGAAAAGCCACTAGGCAAAGAAAAAGAAAATTAAAACAAATGATATATTACTCTGGTCCATAACTTGTTAATACTAAAAAATTAGAAAAATTAAAAAAAAAAAAAGATCTGCCAACAATTAAGAAAATAAATGTTCAGCTGAATGTGATTTTAAAAGCTCACAGATTTCTATGTGTAGATTTCTATGTGTAGTTTCTATTTCTTTAAACTTCTTAATCTTCAAGAAGGCAGATACAAATCAAATATAGGCCTTACAAAAAATATAAAGAAGCTTCACTATAAAGATGACATTACCTTTCTTGTTGCTCTCTATTTTGTCCTGGTGTTGCATTCTTTTCATAATCAGTCTAAAAAAAAGAACATAACATATTTACATAGCTGCTTATTTAATTTTAACACCACCCTTCTATCTGTGAACTTTAATATTTGGAGTCAGGAATTTGACAGTTGTTTAGTTAATGAATTTTAAAATCTACAACTTATACCCTGTCACCTGAATGATGACCAAGAGTTACAGTGTGGTTATATACAAACTGATAATAAGCACAACTGTCTTTTAAACAAAACTGTTGCATACAAATTTAAAACACGTGTGCAATCAAATTTACATTGACGGTCCTTTTAAAATGATTCTCTGCAACTTAAGGAGTTCTTCCATCTAAAGGAATCAGGGTTCCTTGGAGAAATGGATGATTTCAGGGCTGGGGCTGAAAAATAAGCCTGGGTTGTTTTATAATATCAAAAAGCAACTAAGTGCTTGAAAAATGATGTGAAAATATTAAAAGGACATGAGCCGGTTCAAAGGCCAAATATGGGACAGTGAAAATCAAAATAAATAATACTAGTAAAAGATTACAATCTTATCAAATTTAAGAATTCACACTGACTTAAACAAATAAATACATAGAGAAATACATACATAGAGAAAACTTCCTACAGTAGGAAATCAACTTCATAAAGGTAGAAGAAATAGAATTAGAAAATCACCATTTGGCATCTACAAATAAAAGATTCAGGCAAATATCATCAAAACTACTAACAGTGGTGGGTAAAAAGGATATTTATCCTCTCAAAGTTATCTTATTAGTTATAAAAGGTACAATACTAGCAACTTCATAGTGAAGAAATCCCATTGACACCACCTAAACTGTGCCAGTGTGGGACAAACTGGCAGAAAGTACGCTGTAATATGATACTGAGAACAGTTCAGAATTCGTTCTGTGGTATCACTACCAAAAGTGCCTAACCAGAATCTAATCATGAGCAAACAAACATCCTTGTACTCCTTCAGAAATATCAATGTTATGAAATACCAAAAAACAACCCCCCCCAAAACCAAAACACCTGCTCTAGACTAAAGGAGATAAAGAGATTTGACAAATGTAAGACATGATCTTCCATTTTTGTTCTTTTGGGACAACTGGCATCTTAACAAAATTTGCAAATATCAGTACTGTACTGATGTTAAGTTTCTTTCTGGTTTGGGTAACTTCTTCAGGCATGTGAGGGAATTTCTTGTTTGTAGAAACTCAGAAAAAGATAAAGGAAATGTAGTAAAATGTGGAATTCTTAAGATTTTTCCTGCAAGTCCAAAATTATATTCAAATTATTTTTTTGAATTATATTCAAGTTATTTTTTAAAGTCTGATAAAGCAAATATGACAAAATGTTAAAGACTGGTGAGTCAAGTTAAAGGAAATGGGTAAATACTGTACTATTCTCTCAATTTCAGTTTGAAATTTTTCAAGAAATTGAGTTGTCATAAAAGACTCAATGAACTTAAACCAACAAAGGCACAAATAGGAAGATGTTTTATAAATGGAAAAAGAACACACTTTAGTTAAATGACACAGGAAAACAGACAGACCCAGGATATGAAACAAAGTAGAAGACAAATGATCTGGCCTTTTCAAATACCAATGTGCCTAGCAATTCTATTCCAAGGTATAAGACCCAAGAGAAACGAATATCGATGTCCACAAAAAAACCGGCACTTGTATCAAAGTTCATTGCAGTATTATTCATTGCAGTGAAAAAGTGAAAAGAACCCAAATGTCCCTCAACTGATGAATGGATAAACAAAACCGCTACATCTAAACAATGAAGTATTATTCAGCAATAAAAAGGATGCTCTGGTATGAGGTGAACCTAAAAACATTATGCTAAGTGAAATAAGCCAAACACTAATAACTACTTATTTTAAGATTTCATGTATATGTAATGTCCAGATAAGTAAATCTAAAGAGAAAGATAAGTGGCTGCCTCGAGCTGGAGGTGGAGGGGTGGGAAGTGACTACTAATAGATATGAGATGTGGGGGAGGGGATGATGAGAATGTTCAAAAACTGACTAGTGACACATTTGAACAACCAAATACACTGAATCCACTGAGCTATAAACTTTAAGGTGAATGGCAAGGTATGAGAATTATATCTCAATAAAGAAGTTATATAAAAATAAGAACAGTGGGGTGAGGGTAAGATTTGAGGACTAGAAAGACAAAACCAAAAGTAATATACTTGTTTGGATACCGGCTCAAAAAAGCAGCCGTAGGGAATTCCCTGGCTGTCCAGTGGCTAGGACTCGGTACTTTTACTGCCAGAGCCCCAGGGCTCAATCCCTGGTTGGGGAATTAAGATCACACAAGCTGGGCAGTGGCAAAAAAGCAGCAGCTATAAACAACATATGAATTAGATTATTAGGTCATATTAAGAAGGAACTGACAGTAACTTTCCTAAACATGGAAACATTGGAGATATTAGTGTATCATACAGTATACCAAAGTACTCTCGGTGAACAGTCATGATATGAGAAATTTTCAAATAGTTCAACAACACAGACAAAACACAAATAAAGCTAGTGTGGCAAAATTATTTAATATAAACAAAGCTCGCTAGTAAACACTAATTCAGGATATGACCAAGGTGCCAACCATTAAAAGCCATACCAATTCATAATCACTAATTCATAAACTTTACAGATTATCTAGTTGCTAGATTGCAATAGTAAATTATTTGTACTTTATGTGTTCTTATTAATTTTAATCAATACTCAAAGACTAGTGAAAATAAACACATACTCACACTGTACTTTTTATCTATTCTTTGATTAGTCTTCCTTAATTCACCAGATGGGGTCAAAGATGGTTTAAAATAAACAGTTCGATTTGCTGCTATGGAAACTGGCTTTGGGATCATGAGTCTCTGAACAGGGGGGTACTGAGAGTCCACCTTACAGAGAGGCAGAAATCAAAGACAAACTTTTATTTTCATATACCAGCCACGCATATCTAAAAAGTATCTGACAATAGCTAATATAACCTATGAGTACCTAGTTCTAGAGAAATATACAGTGCGTGCAAACCCACACTAAGAGGAAAAACTAAAAGTAAACGAATGTGTATTAACATTTATATTATTAATTTATGTAAAGACTAATTTAGACATATACCTATATATACATATACTTTCAAAATGGTTTCACCGACTATTTTATTCTAAACTTAATGACTTTTCACACACATGTGACACACACAAGGAAACTTCTGCAGAGCATTTTGAATAAAATACGCTTTTACAGGATGAATTTCAAATATATGAACCAAAATTGATTTTGCCACATTTTCCCCAAATTACTATCTATTATTTTCTTCAGTTATAAATATTTAACTAGCTATGAAAACTTTAATTGCTCACATTTTACAATGTGTCTTTACAATTTAAGTCTAATTAGTAAAGCACAGTGAAGAATTCCAAATCTTAAGATGAACTGACTTTGTTATCAGAACACAAGTGTTATGTCAACGTCTTTTGGTACACTGAAACACAGCAAAACTCCAGTTGGTGTGAGATGACTATAAAGCCAAGAGCTTCTACTTTGTCCAAAGATTATGATACTATGAATACAGTCCTTTCACCCAGCAGCAGCTGTGAACAACGCTGGTTTCCAGGGCAAAGCCTCCATCTAGTCACTAGCTCTTCCCTAAATCCTCATCACAAATGTGAGCCTATAATTCAATGAGAAAGTCTATTTTGTAGACTGTTTTGATTACAACTGTGAAACCTGAACAATACTGTATCCTGGCCTTTATATTTCCTAGCATTCGCTACCAAAATTTTACTCAAACTACTATTGTTATTGTTCACTTGTTAAGTTGTGTCAGACTCTTGCAACCCCATCAACTGATACTATACTCAATCACTAAGAAAATTTTTGTTGATGAGAACTTCTCTTATGACACAATTCTTAAAATTTTACTTCTTTTTAAACAATCTGATATAAATGAGTCACAGAAAAGCAGATAACTTAACCCCATCACAGCAGCCAATAACGAATTCCCTCTTGCCTTTTACAAATGTCTGAAAGGGAAAGTCTCAGTCGTGTCCGACTCTGCGACCCCATGGACTATACAGTCTACGGAAGTCTCCAGGCCAGAATACTGGAGTGGGTAGCCTTTCCCTTCTGCAGGGGATCTTTCCAACCCAGGGACCAAACCCAGATCTCCCACATTGCAGGAGGATTCTTTACCAGCTGAGCCATAAGGTAATACTAAAAATTGAGAAACAATGCTATCCCAAGAAAGAACTCAATTAAGGTTTCTTTTCTCCATCAGAACTGCAGTAAAATAATTGTCATTTACCAATATCTCAAACAGAGCTCCTACAATTAATTCAGAGATTTATGACAATTTTAATCAATTACTCCTGGGGGAACTTGGAGGTGTAATAAATGCTTTATGAGGAATGATGTGGGAATCTGCTTTCCCTTAAGGGCACTTAGCCACAAATATAACTGACAAAAATTATACCTCTTGAAACTTAACTATCAAGCATTTTTATTTCCCACAGTAAAACCCCAAACTAACTTTAACCAAATAGAATGTGATCAAAAGGGTTATCACAATATAACTATTATATTTTTCATTAGCTCTGCTGTCTTGGATGACTGATGGAAGAAGATATGCAAACTGGAAATCCTATCACACATAACTGATTTGACATAATGTTTACGAAGAAAATTTACAAAGTAACTATGTTCGATGAGAACTTTAGCTCACTGAACTGCTAATTAAAGATGTCAAGCTCTGTTCACGCCTATCTTCATTCATCAAAACGTAAGAATTACTCATAAAGACTGCCAGAAATATACAAAAGAGTTAACTAGTAAGAACCTACTGTACAGCACAGGGAACCCAAGACTACGTAACAACCTATATGGGAAAAGATCCTAAAAAAAGAGTGGACACATGTGTATGCATAACTGATTCACTCTGCTGTATGCCTGAAACTAACACAATATTGTATATCAACTATAAAAAACAAGACCACCAGGATACTGAAACTGGAAATGCCAACACACAATCAATATATACTATCTACTACATATACAGCATGTGCTAAGGCCTTCACAAGAAACTGCAAAATCCAAGTTTAAAAAAAAAAATCCATTTTTTCAAACATGTTCCCTAACGACCATCAACTAAAGCCAATTTGTGTATTTAAAAATAAATACAAAACTGCCAGTACCTTAGATAAATGTTAAAGAAGGCTTACCTTTTCCCTTTTGGCCTGAAAGTCTGTGGTGGTATCCATCCCACTCCTATCAAGAGGCTAAATAAATAAAATACCATTAGAATGGACGGGAAACTGAAAAATATGACATCACCAACATGTGAAAATGCAAGATTTAAAAGTCAACTTACAGACTTTAGTGGAGAAGAAAAAACAGATGGAATTCTTTTCGCATCCTGTAAATGTTGAAATAGTGAAATTAAGATTTCTCAGTAAGCTTAAATTTTGCTCTACTCCTGAATTTAATTGTGATTTAAAAAACTTACCGCTAGAGGACTTGACATCTTCTCTAAGGACTGCAATATCCTCCGAGCTGTTGAACTAGTCACACCATAGGACTGTGCGTTGGGTTGCTTAGCTTTCATCTGTCTTCGGACTGGTGCCTATAATGTAAACCTTGAGTTATTTACTGGAACTTTATACTCCAAAGCCCAAATTTCAGAGAATGAAAATCCCGACCAAACAGAATTTTATGTGCAAAGTGAAAAAGAATTAACTGTTAACAGCAACTTGTCATTGGGTGGCGTCATTAAGCTCACATTCAACTTTTTTTCTTTATGCCTTAATTGAAAAATTCAATTCTCTGAATCCTGTGAAGGGCAAGAGAGGTTTGGAGGACACAGAGTACCTGATTTCAGGACTTACTACAAAGATACAGTAATCAAGACAAAAGCACAGTGTTGACAGAAGGACACACACAGACACACGTCAAAAGAATAGAAGTCCAGAAATAGAGCCACGTATACGGTCAATTCATTTTCAAAAAAAAGTGCAAATACAATTCAATGGATAAAGTACAATCTTATCAATAAACAGTATGTACTAGAAAAAATGGACATGCATTTGTTTAAAAGAATGAATCTTGATCCACACTTCATACTACACATAAAAATTTTAACTCAAAATGAATCAAAGGTCTAAATTAAAATCTAAAACTATAAACCTTTTAAAAGAAAAAGAAGAAAATCTCTGTGACCTTGGGTTGGGTAGAAATTTCTAGACATGACACCAAAGGCATGAACCATAAAAGAAAAAAAAAAAACCCTGACACGCTGCATGTCATCACAAGTAAAAATCCCTCTTGACGAGGAATGTTAAGGCAAGCCAGAGAATGGGAGAAGACACCTGCAAAGATACATCTGATAAAGGACACAAGCCCTGACGATGGATTCTCCAAACTCATCAACAGGGAAATCCCATTTAAAAATGAGCAAAGGGGTTAACAGGTGTACACTTCCAGATATAAACTAAGTCACAAGGATGTAATGTACACATCAGGAATATAGTCAACAATATTTTAACAACTTTGTATGGCAATGGATAGTAATTGGTCTTGTGGTTATTTCATAATGTATAAAAACATCAAATCACTATGCTGCATACCTAAAACTAATATTTCATATTATAGCTCAATAAAAAATTCAGATTTTTCTTAATGGGCGATAACATTTGTACACATACTTCATCCCAGATATACTTATGGTAAATAAGCACCAACATCATTAGGTCATTAGGGAAATGCAAAACCACAGTAAGCTGGAATAATCACTACATGCCTATACAAAATTGATGACAAGTGCTGACCATATGGTGAGAACACAAAGGGATAGCACCCACTTTGGAAAACACTTCGGTGGTTTATTATAAAATTAATGTATATACTATGTGACTCAGCAGTCCAACTTCTAGGAATATACCCAAGAGAAGAGAAAATTAATGTTCATAGCAGTGTTATTCACAATGGACAAAAATTAGAAATAATCCAAGCATCCTTTTACTCATGAGCAGATAAGCAAACTGTATTATAACTCTGCAATAAAAATCAATTAAGTATTGATATATGCAAACAGACTGATCTGCATAATGCTAAGTAGAATAAGCCACATTCAAAAAAATACACAGTGTATGATTAAAGTTATGACATCCTGGGGGAAAAAACAAAACTACAGAAAGAGAAAAGAGATACTGATTGCCAAGAGGTGGAAGTACAAAGAAGGCTTGTCTACAGAGTTGCACAAGGTAATGTCTTGGTATGATGGAAATGTTTATTCAGTATTTTGAGTGCAGAAGTGGTTATTCAACTGTATGTGTTTAGTTAAAATACAAATACTGTGGTAAGGGTAAATTTTACTATATGTTACTTACACCTCAGTTTTTCAAAAAAGGAACTAACCACCATACTTTCTAAAACACACACACACAAATAATGGATAAAATGTTCACTTTGGTCCAAAATAATAATATAGTTCCTAAATGAAAAGAATGTAACCCACAGTTTTATCATTTCAGCAAAGGATAAATGGACCAAAACTTTTTCTGAGTGACAACAGTTACTTATTATTTAAAAGAAAAAAAGGTATAAGCCCTTCTATTCAAACCGACCTGATACAGTGTGTTTCGTAGTTTAGACTGTCTTACAGCAGCTGCTGCCCCACCATATGTTGTTTTTCCAGGGTAAAAAGGAGAATCTCCAAGTTGACTTGTTTTAAAAATTGAAGAGTTCCCAAGTGACTGCACAGAAACATAACGATAAATTATAAGACAAGCACTCAAAACTAATGTGGTTAAATCAAATCAAATTAGGACTCACAGGAGAAAGTGCTCCAAAGGCAGACAAGTTGAATGCTGGTTTTTTTGAGCTGGTGGCAGTGTGCTGTGAGAGTGAATGAGAACGTTCAGCCTCTGGGGACCACAGAGGTGGCACCGAAATGTTCTTTGAAACAGCTATATCTGAAATAAAAATATGCAATGCACAGTGATAACACTAATAACAAGGCCAATGTTTTTATAAATAGAAAATGAAAATGACAGCCAAGTTAGAAAAAAATTGTCCCATGAAATTTACTTCCAAATACCAAAATTATATACTACCAAATGCCAAGAATACCTTTATCAGAAGCTCTTGAAGAAAAACCACTGGTGGTTGAGATGTTATCATCATCATGCTGAGAGGTAGAATCTTTAATTTCCTTTACGAGGGAAAATCCAGAACTGCCGATGGGAAATGCCGAAGATGTGGAGGGCTGACAGTGTAACGCAGGAGAGTCCAACATGGAGAAATTCAGATGGCTCCGATGAAGAGAAGGCCTTGTTAATACATCTGGATAATTTGAAGCGGTACTAGTTGTTGACGGTTCTAAAGAGAACAGCAATAACATTAACACTGAGTTTAGAAAAAGCAATATACTATCAAAGTAAGTGTTTGTTTCAAGAAAATATACTATATAATAAATATAACTTCAATTCAAAACACTGAAGCCTCCTGTGATAAGCCCAATTTAAGATATTCTTTAGCCAAGCAAGGTTTCAACTAACTGAAATTAACTTGCTTAATCTACTGTCAAAATACACTTTAGTGACCAAATATACTTGTAAACAAATTTGGCATAGTAGCAAAATACAAAATAAACATGCAAAAATCAGTTTTGTTTCTATACACTAACAATGAAAAATAAGAAAATTATTCCATAAACAGCAGCATCAAAAAGAATAAAACACTCAGGAATTGACTAAGGAAGTGAAAGAACCTGCATGATGAAAACTACAAAACATGGCTGAAAGAAATTTAAGATGTAAATAAAGGGAAAAACATCCCATGTGCTTAGATTGAAAGACCTAAAATTCTTAAAATGTCAATACTACCCAAAGTGATCTGCAGAGTCAATGCAATTCCTTTAAAAAACCCAATGACCCTTTTTTGATGAAACAGAAAAAAAATCCATCCTAAAATTCCTATCGAATCTCAATGGATCCCTAATAACCAAAATAATCCTGAAAAAGAACAATAAGAATGGAGATGTCATATTTCCTGATTTAAAAAAATTATACAAAACAGCAATCAAAGGCATGGTGCTGGCATAAAGACAGACATGTAGACCAATAGGATAGAACAGAGAGCCCAGACATAAACCTTTGCATACACGGTCAAATGATCCCAAATGATCCCTGACAGAGCGCCAACACCAGTCAATGGAATCGTTTCTTCAATAAATAATTTTGGGAAAACTGGATATCCACAGGCAAAAGAAGAAAACTGGACCCTTTCCTACACCATACACAGAAATAAACACTAAATGGATTAAAGATCTAAACATAAGACTCCAAAATATAAAGTTTATAGAAAAAAAAACAGAAAAGCTTTAAGATGCTGATCTTGGCAATGATTTCTCAGATATGACAGGCAACAAGAGAAAAAAAGACATGTGGGACTGTATCAAACTGAAATACTTTTGTGCAGTAAGACATGATAATCAGGAGTGAAAAGGCAACGTAAGGAATAATAGAAAATAGAAATAAAAATAAAATTAGAAAATGTTTGCAAATCATATATATGATAAGGTATTAATACCCAGAACATAAAAGGACTCCTACAACAATAAATCAAATTATCTGATTAAAAACTGGGCAAAGGACTTGAACAGACTCTTGTCTAAAGATGATACCCAGTCAACAAACATATGGAAAGATTCTCAACATTTCTAAACAGAGAAATGCATATCAAAACCAGCGAGATACTACTTCACACTCCTAAGGACAGCTACTATCAGAAAAAATTAAAATCAGAATCACCACATGATCCAACAACTCCACTTCTGGGTATATATCCAAAAGAAGTGAAAGCAGAGTCTCAAAGAGATGTGTACAATCATGTTCCTAACAGCATTATTCACAAGAGCCAAAGCTGGAAGAAACCTAAGTGTCCATTAACAGATGAATGAATAATGTGGTAAATACAATGAATGATATTGTTGTAAAAAGGAAATAAATTCCGATACATACAGCAGTGCGAATGAACTCTGAAGACATTCTGCTAACTGAGATGTCAGTCACTGGAGGAGAAATATTTATGATTATACTCATTTGAAGCATGCAATCAAAGTCATAGCAAAAGTACGATGGTATCTCCCAGGGGCTGAGGGGGAGGGAGCGGGAATTAGTGTTTAATGCAATAACTTCTTACCCAGTTTGCTCAAGTTAAGGGAGAAACTGGCAGGAGCTTCGAAATCTACTGGTATTGGCACTTACATCTATTGGTATCTAAAGATTATAATATTTCAATTTCTCCACAGTCAGGATTCATATACACATAGGCTGAAATGGTTCTTAAAGCATCAAGTATTCTAATTTTGTAGTAGATCCTAAAAGTGCTTTTTACTGACCCGTTCTCTCACCCCTGCAGCAGTTTATCCCATAGGATATTTTCTAGATATTGGCAGACATCTATTCAATCTAGAATATACAGAAGCCATAGAGAAAAAGCAATCTAGTATGATACACTTCTACTGGAAGGCATGCTGCTAACAGCAATGCCAGTTTTTTAGGTTTATATAGCTTCCTTACCTTCTAAACCAGGCCCAATAAAGGACACATTTGGGGATAGTAAGACTAAATTAGGTCATGGCATCTACAGATTCACATCAGCCATAAATGCTCAGTTTCTAAGAGAACACCTATGATATCACAGTATTAATCAGCCAGTATAGTCTACAACTTCAATCCACGGCTGACCAGCATGTTAGATGCACCATAATGGGCTTCCCCCTCAGAGGTCTGAACTCTCACTGAATCAGTAATAATCTATCCTGTACATTATTTGAGGTTCCTCACCGATTAATGCCATTAACCGAGTAAAAGAAATCTAGACACCTAATGACTCACCATCATTAAAACACGCAATACAAGGAGGTACATAAAAGCAGAAAGCTGCAGACAACAGATATGAAAGAGGCTACAGATTCTATAACTGTTTGTACTGCACTGTGCTATTTGAAGGATGTACAATATTCTCCTGCTCCAGTTACTATTAATATGAGTTACACTTGTAATTAGTAAGCAATATGCAGGACTGTTACCTCTAAATTATTTGAAGCTTTCAATACTTTTACACTACTTTAAGAGCAAGTATGTCTAAGTTGTTTTGAGAATGCACTGTCAAATTTAAGAATAATGTTTCACAGAGTAAACAAAGTGATTTAGATCGTTATCTAATAAGATCTACATTCATCAGAGTTATCAATTGATACTGTAGTCACACATTATGTGACTGTAAGTACTGAATACTTTGAGAAAGACGGAGGCAGACTGTCAGACGAGAACTGCCTCGAACTTACAGATTTTACGACAGGAGCAGGAGTCAGCTCTAAGACAAGACAGAGGGAAAATGCCAAGTTTTTGAAGTTAGTATCAAAAGCTGCTCACAATTTGCTTCTAAATCAGAGGAGTTCGAGTGAGAAGGTGAGTGAACAGATGTGGAAACAAGGAAAACAAAGTCAGCCATAAGTTGGCTGTCCTTGAAACTGGTTAACAGGTCCAAGGGGTTTACTGTACTATCCGCCTCCTTCCTTTTGTAGTTTGAAAATTTCCACAATAATTTAAATTTAGAAATTATTCACAAAGGTGTGTTTACTATATATATATATACACACACACACACACATATATATATATATATATATATATAAAATAGAATGCTACTGTGTAAACTTAATAACATAATGAATAAAATCCAAGTGGAAATAAACCTTGGCAGACCACTGCCATCATTTCAACAAAAGTACAAACACACAAACAAAAAGGAACCTCACAGCTGTACAATGAGACACTCCATTTATCTCACACCTAAACTGAATTATTCAAGTTAGTTAATCCCCACAAGCATTAGGATGGAAAAAGCTTCAGCCACGGTAGATATATTCTGGTGCACACTACAAGTCTCTAGTCAAAAGAGAGAAGTTGGGGTCCCAGTCGATGTCAGAAGCAGTCACCCTAGAGACCTACCAAGTAAAACCTCCAGATGATTGCTGCAAGTATATCAGAAAGAGATCTTGAAAAGTAGAGATATTAAAACTCCCTAAGCTACTCTAATAAAAAAGACTAAGCCGAACTGAGTATCACTAAGAAAACTTAGATTTGCCAATTCTCCAAAAGAGAATCCCTCTTTGAGCCCATTTTACTCTCACTAGTTTTCACTAAAAGCAAATCAGGCAGGAAAATAAGTTACTAGGTATACCAAAATTAATAGGCACATATTCACATCAATTATTGAAGCAAGACAAGATTTAAGTTATCAAAAAAATTGCTGTAACTGGAAGTCAAAACATGCGGTGAAAGAAAAAACTATATAAACTGAAAAGAAATGTATACTTGAGAGATAAAGTGGACCTCAAAAATTTTAAATTTTTGTGCTTCAAAGGACACATCAAGAAGCTAAAATGGGAGAAAAATGTTTGCAAGTCATACAGAGATAAGAGACATATCCAGAATATGTCAAGACCTCTTTCAATTCAATTATAAAAAGAAAAATAACCTGTGAAAAATGGAAAAGGGGGATTTGAATAGCCCATTTCTCCAAAGATATATAAACGGTCAGTAAGCACACGAAAAGATGCTCATTATTAGTGATCAGGGAGATGCAAATCAAAATCACGAAGAGATACCACTTCACATCTACCAGAAGAGCTATATTTAAAAAAAACAAAGAAGTATTTGTAAAGATACTGCATTCTTCACACACTGTCAGGGTAAAGAAATTGCATTCCTCACACCCCACCAGTGGGAAGGTAAGATGGTGTAGTCATATTAGAAAAACCGTTTTTTCCTCAAAATGTTCAACTACCAGATGACCCAGCAATTCTACTCCTAGGTACCTACCCAGGAGAAAACACAATCCAAGAAACCACCTGCACAGGAATACTTTAAAAAGCAGTGTTCTCAATACTCCAAAAGTAGAAACCACCCAAATGTGCATCAACTGGTAAATGGATAAATAAAATATAGTTTATCCAAGCCATGAAATATTATCTGGCAATAAAAAGGAAGTTCTGATACATGCCATGACATGGATGAACCTTGATGTTAAGTGCAAGAAGCCAGTTACAACAGATCACATATTTTATGGTTCCATCTATATCAAATGTCAGTCTAGACAAATCTATAGATACAGACTGGTGGTTGCCTGGGGCTGGAGGGGTAGGGATGGGCAGTGACTACTAATGGGTATAGGATTTTAGGGGGATGGGGTGGGGAAGGATGGCAATTAAAATGTTCTAAAATCGACTGTGGTGACTGAACAACTCTGTATATACTAAAAATCACTGAACTAAAAAAAAAAAAAATCACTGAACTATACACTTTAAATGGGTGAACCCTTTGTTACGTGAAGTACATCTCACTAAAGCTATACAAAATACATAAAGTGCAATGACAGAGTAAAAGTCCCAAATATGTCACATTCACGGGTTACCTGAAGCTATTAAATATCTGCAAACCCCACAAAACGCCTTAAGTAAATCCAAAACGCATTTAAAACAGGGCCGCTCACTGTATGATTAAGGAAACAGCCCAGCTGAGTGGGACAGGAGCCACCACACCCAAATCCACGTGCTGTGGGGGGCCTTACCACACTGCTCTCTTAGTTCCAGGACCCATTCACACTCACTCTCTTCAAAACCACTTATGAGGGTACAGAGGGGAACAGATTATCTTGACCAAAATCACACAACTAACAATTGGTGGTATGAAAATTCAAACCCAATGTCTAACAGCAGAGCTGGTGCTCAACTGATACAGTATTTTAACCTCCCTTAATGAACAAAAAACTGCTAAATTAAAAAGATGCCAATTTGAAGGTGATCATCAGCCTCCAACATGGTTTCTGTACTACACAATTAGATTTACCACAGCTAGGCAATATAAAAATATTTTAGATTAAGGCATGAAAGCCTATCATTTAAAACAAAATATCCACATTCTATTTACCTTCTGTATTACTGCCTGTAGGCTCAGGAGTGATTCTCCCATCATGAATGTTCGCACTCTCCTCATCGGAGTATACATGGTCATCTTCCCTATTTTCTGGCCACTGCGGCACCTCTCTTGTGTCTGTTGAGCAGCTACATACATCTTCGTTCTTGCTGAAGTATCTCTGTAGCCATCCAGGCACAATATTCTTAACAGATTCTGTAACCCTGCTAAGAATGCCCTGTTGAAGAGGAAAACATGGAAGACAGTTTAGAAATTTATCTTTTAAAATAAGTACCTATATACAGAAAGTCATACTAAGCAAAACATAACTATTTCCAACAAAGTTTCCTAAATTTAGTTACTTGAGTTAACATTGACATAATGCATTTTACAAATTCTATAGACTTTATGAAATTCCTACTTTTTTCTTTCTTCTACATGCATGTGTCCATGAGCCAATACTCCAACAGGCTTTCAACTAAACAATATAAATTTTAGATTTAGTAGTAAGATATGCACTAAAATGCTATAATCCCAGACAAAAGGTAGCCATCTTGATCCCAGCATATTAAAGCAAGAGAAATACCTTCAACAGCTTCCTCAAGCAAATATTTTACTGTACATTCTTTAACAACAAAAATTTAGACAAATAAAAAGGCAGTAAGACAACAAATTCAACATAAAAAATTCTAAGACTTTCATTGATAGTAAAAGTTTGTTATATTAAATGTTGCCTAAAAACCAAGAATTTTATTACAGCAACTTTTAAAGGGAGAAAAAGATGTGGTACAACAACTATCAGCATTATTAATGTTCATTATCAGACACTGTTCTCAGCAGTTGATACATATTATTCAATTTACTCCTCACAACAATTTTATAAAACTGCTTTTAACAGTGCCACTTGACGAATGAAGAAGAATAATGAAGTAATGTGCCCAAGGTACAAACACAACTGCTGTGGAATATCTAGCATGGACTCGGGGGTCAGTAGGCTGTACTCGGATTTACTCTAGGTAAGATAAGAACAACATCCTTTCCTACCATCACTCGATACAAATTATAATGAAGTACAAATGAAATAACGTGAAAGCACTTCACAATTTACTAAATATTAACAGAAACACACACACTGACAATTTCATTACCAATGAGAAAAAAAGTTAGCAGAAACAACCTGGGGTGAGGTAACCAGTTTCAGGCAATAAAGTTAAGGTAGGATACATAAAGGTTGAAAGCAAACCCAAGACAAAGAGGACTTGAAAAATCCTGTCAATAGAAAAGATGGAAGAGACTTCTGATATAGGCACTTGGACAGTATCTTCTGATTATCTGAAAAGGTGTAGGTAACAACTAGGAAATAAAGCAATTATTTTTGCTCCAAACAGAATTTTTGAACAGATCTGTAATGTAAAATCTCTAGCAACACATGAAGCTAACAGTCATGGAATACTATTGAGAAACACAAATTCACTGCTCCCCTTTTCTATGCTAGTGTTACACAGTACTAGCTTTTCTGGCAAAGATTTTATACCTACTCCAAGATTTAGTATTTATAAAAACACATTTATTATTTTGCTGTTTATATTTAAATATTAATTTACTCCCCCATATTCCAAAATTCTTGAAAGTGCTTTCAAGATATAAATTTTCAAAAAGGCATACTTTTAAAAATACATGCACCTACGTATTTATCTGGCTGCACTGGGTCTTAGTTGTGGCATGAGGACCTAGTGACCCAAACAGGGACTGAACCTGGGCCCCCTCACTGGCAAGATGGGAGTCCTCAGCCACCGGACCACCAGGCAAGGACCCAAATGTTGCGGTCCTTTAAAGGGCCGGAACCTGGTGGTCTGCAGAACAAGAGAGATAAAGAGGCTGATACTCCCTGGGTTACGCAGAGAACCAATAAGGCCCTGGAGCAGGGCTTGCACTGCTCACGAAGGCACAGGGCGCCCTCTCGAGGAGGTCCTGGAAGCCCAGGCAGGAAAGTGAGCTCGGCAGGTTTCCAGGCTCCAGAGGAGGAGCCGAAGTGGGGGGTGAGGGAGAGAGAGAGAGAACGACAAGGGGACCCAAGTCTCTAGTGGAACAAAGGTGCTTTAATGATCTTTGTGTGGGTATATATAGGCTGTAGTACAAGGAATTTCTTTTGACAATGATAAAGATAAGAAAACCAGACTACAGCAACCGTTACCAAGGAAACAGGGAATTAACAATGGTCATAAGGTCAGAAGACAATCCATACCTCAAGAAAGTGGGTCGTGACTAGGCGGTTTTGTCGTAAGGAAGAAGTTTACTGAAGGAAATCCATGCATGTGTTTCATCCCGTGACCTCAGCCCTGGGAGCAGCGTGCCGCCCCACTCGTTCCTGTTACCAGGAACTGATAAGGAACAGAGGGTTTATGGGAGACAAAAAACAGCACACAGGAATTCTTCTGTTAAACGTTCCCTGACACCCAAAAGGCATACCTGATATGAAGCATTATAGGAAAAATTCGTGTAATATGTAAAATAAGCCTTGCGTAAACTCCCTCTAAGGTGTTTAGCTACTAAAAGTATTATGAGATTCCTGTGATCTCTACTCACCTAAGGAGGCAAATACAGCACAAATTAAATTAACACCATTCTTAACCAAAGGTCACTGATGTGCCAGCATTAGGGAACCTGCCTGCCAATGCAAGAGACGTAAGGGAGACAGGTTCGATCCCTGGGTTGGGAAGATCCCCTGGAGGAGGGCATGGCAATCCACTCAGTATTTTTGCCTGGAGAATCTCACAGAGGGCTATACAGTCCATAGGGTCACAAAGAGTAGGACACAACTGAAGTGACTTAACATGCACACATGTGTAGGTATTGTTGAGAATAAATCAGTAAAAATTCAACAGTCAAAATAGATATTAAAAGCTCACACACTGAAACTCATGAATTTTGCTTGCAAACTCTCTCTTTTCTAAACTAAAATGTAAGCAATTTATTTAACCACAGCACAGAGCAGCTTAGTATAATATTACAGTGAGAGAGAGAGGAAATACTAGCACGATTAGAAAGAAATACTCCCCATACTTCAATATCCCTCTACAGGGTAAATGACCCTAAGTCATCAAGAAAATCAAGAAAAGTTACAGTAAGCTCAGTAAACCCTAATTCAGTAAACCCTAAAACAGGTAGGACTCACCTGTTTTAACAAACCCTCACAAGTGATTCTGATGTATGCTATATTTTGAGAACCACCAATCTAGTTAAAGAGATTAGGAAATTAAACACATTTCAGGAAATCACAATACAATTACCTCTACAAGAGGTGAATAAAATTGCGTATACTTAAATCTTCATATTCCATTACCTTGAAAAAGCGTATGTGGGGCACTAGTCAGACACTAATTAAAATATATCAGAACAGGAAGCCACCAACCAGAAAAACAAGGCTTAGAGTAGACAGCGCTGAGTACAATGTGGCTCACAGAACTACTTCCTGCGCATCTCCCAACTGGAGCCATGACTCTCTACCTGTCCTGTTACTTAACGGTTTTCTATCTGGCTGTGTTAGTCGCTCAGTCACGTCCAACTCTTTGTGACCCCATGGACTATTAGCCCGCTAGGCTCCTCCGTCCATGGAATGCTCCAGGCAAGAATACTGGAGTGGGCTGCCATTTCCTTCTCCAGGGGATCTTCCCAACCCAGGGATTGAACCCAGGTCTCCAGCATTGCAGGCAGATTCTTTACTCTCTGAGCCACCAGGAAAGCCACCAGGAAGTTTATTTCTCTTAATAAACAGCTCTTTCTACACAATAAAATCTACCAAATCACAAATTTGATTCTGTACCAGTCCTCACTTGCCCTTGCCTGACACCATCTCCAATGATTGTCTCAACAAAGTGGCTCATGAGAGATTCTAAAGATCATTAGCTATCAGAGGATGGAAGGAAAGTGAAGTCTCTCTTCCTGGGCTCTCTCTGCTCAAACACCCCATCTTTAAAACTACAGCTCCAGCCACCCAGCCCTTGTTCCACACCAGTTACATGGTTTCTTCCCTTTATCTGTTCAGTCCTAGGGGAGGTGGCAGCTTCCCACCACTGCTAGTCTCTGGGCATCCTATGTATTCCTTTAACCACCAGCATTTATCTCTGAGCAGACTCTTAAAAGAAATTTCAGCTGGAGTTAACTGTTTCTTGCTGGGTCCTTAACTGATACAGCAATGTGCTTTCGTTAAATTTGTTTTCTAATTAACATGAAAATTAAAGTCAGCCAGTTCATTGGATTTATCTTCTTTAGCAACAATGGAACACATGTACCATATTCGGTGAAACACATTTTTTTGGCAGCATGCTGGTATCTTAGTTCCCAGTCAAAGTGAAAGTCGCTCAGTCGTATCCAACTCTTTGTGACCCCATGGACTACATAGTCCATGGAATTCTCCAGGCCAGAATACTGGAATGGGTAGCCTTTCCCTTCTCCAGGGGAATCTTCCCAACCCAGGGATCGAACCCTGGTCTCCCACATTGCAGGCAGATTCTTTACCAGCTGAGCCACCAGGGAAGCCCTTAGTTCCCAGACCAGGGATCAAACCTGGAGCACCGGCAGTGAAAGCACCAAGCCCTAACCAGGAGGCCACCAGGGATGCCCCAGGAAGCACTTATTACCCAGAAGTTACATCCACCTTTTATTTCTGTAAAACAGTACATAAATGGACCAGGAAAGAGGCTTATCCTGATGAATATTTCAAAATCTTATCTAACAGAGGTAAAAGCAAACACTGTCTTACTTCATTCGATTAATTTAATCAATACTTACTGATCATACACTACAGGTCAGGCAAGAACACTGGGGATAAAGCAGGGAACAAGTCCCTGCCCTCTTGGAACTTAGACTCTAAGTTAGGGAGACAAACACGTGTCACATGTAACACAGGACACGGTGATTTGGTGCTACGGACAACAATACAGCAGGAAAGCAAAACAGGGCAGCTGTGTTATACAGGCAAAGACCTGGGAAAAGGAAGGAGGCGCCTTGCGCATTTCTGGCAGAGAAGTATTACAGACTTAGGAAACAAAAAGTGCAAAGACCCAAATGTAGATGTGCCCTTGGCACATGCTATCCAAGCTTCTAGAAACCTTGGTAAAAAACGCTTAATCTAATAGACTTGAAATAACTACTTAAATCCCTCGAAATTCCCCTTTGATCATATGGGGGTGTGTGTGTGCACACACGAGTGTGTGTGTGAGAGAGAGAATCCGTGTG